AGAAAATATAATTAAAAGAAAAAAACATTTCTAATATTAAGATTATTTTATATATTATAAAAGTTAACCCATCATAACGTTAAGAACTTATGACAAGTTAAATAATATATCTATTCACACTATGTTTGTAAGTTTTTATAAAAGATATTCATTGCTTTGTAATGTTTTTAAATAATTTAATAGCATTTATAAATCTAGATTCTTTCTTCAATATGTGAAACTTCTTTTGTTTTGACAATTGCTTAACACGCACTACTTTTGGTGAATTTGCGAAAATGGAGAAAGAAAAATATTGATATATAATAAGAAAGAAAGAAAAAAAAAAAGACAAAAGAAAAATAAAATATAATAAGTAATATGGGTGTAATATTACTTACAGATCCATATGGATAAATTCAAAAGTGGTTTACTGAATTTCATTTCAATTGTTTCATAACCAAAAAAGGTGAGCTGTCAAGATGCCTAAATGAGGTAACAACTTTCAATATGGTGTACAAAATTTATGATCTACTGATAAAAGAGCGATTAATTAAGCTGGACGAAATTACTGTTATAGGAGAAAACTCAAGTTAATAAGATTATAACATTTTGTAAGACTATTGCTATATAAAAAAAGTTATTAACAAGACAGATGAGTGCAGTGCAAATATTTTAGAGCAATAGTTTTTGTTTCCATTTATAGATGTGGTAGATAAGCAACAGTTTTAAGGGACAGTCTGAATTGTGTACTTCATCAGAATATATTTCAAAAGACCTGTCTTAAATTATAATGAACTACCATTATTTGTATTGTACGACGATTTAATGAAGCCGTTGTAAGGATCAAATTTAACGTGAAAATTTAACTTACACCAATTCAATTAATAAAAATAGTAAATATAAAGGGAAAAACTACATATAATGAGTTTTAAAATTAATTAATTCCATATGTAAAACTCAATTGCTTCAAAGCAGCACCTTGTTTAATTCAAAATGTTTCTTGTCGCTTACAGTGGTAGAATTGTGGTGCAAAACAGCACCTTGTTTACTCCAAAATGTTTCTTGTCGCTCACAATGGTAGAATTGTGGTGCAAAACAGCACGTTGTTCACTTCAAATTGTTCCTTTGTCGCTTACAATGGTAGAATTATGGTGCAAAACAGCACTTTGTGTGCTTCAAAATGTTGTGTCGTCACCTGCAATGGGAGAAATTTTGTATAAAAGGAAGTCAAATTGTGGCTTTCGTTCCATTTGTGATTTCACACCATTGCAGGTAAGTTGTGTGTGCTACGGACAACAGTTAGAGCTCGGTCCAAGCGACCTGAACACATGATGGTTTGTTTAGCCTTTGCTGACGGTCGTCAGGTGAACAATTGAGGTTGGATGAGCGAGGTGACGTTGGTTGCGTTACCTTTCGTTTGGCTTATGCTGACGAAGGATAACTTAACCAGCCAATCAGATTTCCATCTCGCCATTGTTGGTGGAAAACTGAATGGCAAATTACCAGCACTGTATTAGAAGATTGCTAGGGACAACAGCGGGAGCCCGGACTAGTTGGTCTGAACACATGACGATTGGTCTGGCCATTGCTAATGATTACCATGTGGATGGACGAACAAGTCTGGGTGAAGTGAGATTGGGTGGGTTGCCTACTGCTTGGTTATGCTGGCATAGTGTAGCTCAACCAGTCATCCGGACTACCATTTGGCTAAAGCTGATGGAGGAATAGATGACGAGTCACCAACAATGTTAGGAGACGTGTAGAATATACGAGCGTTTGGCAATTGCCGACGAGCGTGTTCAGGCGTAGCACCAGGGAAGGGACCTTTGCCTGGCTATAGCTAACAAGGGTATTCATCCAAATCTTTAACAATGATTTGAGGCCTTTTGTGATTTCACACCATTGCAGGTTTAGCATTGCTGATTTCGACAACGCTTCCCAACGATTACAATCGCTCCCAACATTTCCAACGAATTTCGCACCATTGCAGGTTCTACATTGCTTTATTATACATTATAACAGAGATGTCCAGCTCAAAGAACTTGAACGTGTTTGGACTCTTTACAACAACTTAAACTTATAGTTGCAAGGTTCCGGAAACAGAAATATAGAAGGTGTTGCAAACATATTTAACTTTGAAGATAAAGTTCGAGTTTTTATTTGTAAACTTCAATTGTAGATGGGCAAAGTTCCCATATGAAAAGCGCTTCTAAATAACCAAATATACGATATCATCAGTATTTATTCGATAAAATATTTACGACAACAAAATACATCTGTAAGTACTCGCTGATGAAATCAATCGATACTTTCCGGAATACAAAGAAAGTGAATCAAAAGGTATCCAAAAGCTTGTTCGTAATCTTTTTGTCATTAATTTTAGGGAAGTTACTGATGAAATCCAAAAAGAGGAGATTGATTTACAAAATGTTGGAAACTTTAAACAAATGTTTGAATCTGTCTCGTTTGAGGAATTTTGGTGTAAAATCACAGTTTTATATATTAAAACGCGCGAAAAAGTCTTAAAATCGGTTTAAAGCAAGTAATGACATCAGGGAGCGAAAATAACAGTTGTTTCAAAAATATTTAAGAATAAAAGTAGGAACTAAAAGTTGTCTGAACTCATATTTAGGTATAAAGTTATCATTCTAACAACTTTCATCCTTAATATTATGTATGATTTTTATATATGTGAGCGTTTTAAAATAAAACTCAAAAAATAATAATTAAATTTCTTTTTCTTGATTTTTATTTTTATAAGTCAAAAATAACAGTTATTTGTGCGTTTTGAAATAAAAAGCAGAATGTAAGAGTTATTTTTGATGAATATAATATAAAGTAAATTTAATTAATTTTTTTGGAGTTTTATTTTAAAATGCGAATGATAACAATTATAAGGTGATTTCTATTTTCTATTTTAATGGTTCTTGAATGATAAGCGTTGTAGCTTTGAGCACTAACATCAGCTCCAGGATTTCACAGCTATTAAAGGAATTGCAAGCTCAAAAAACATATTGAAGATTTTTACATTAAATTTGCATTTTTTTGTTATTATTTGTGCGTATTACTTAAACGAACATGATGAAGTTTCTAATAAAACTAATAATTAAAATAATCATACAGTTTATTATTCTTAAACTTTGTGGTCCTTACTAAAAACAAAAATATCACAGTAGTCCTTGGGAACTACTGATGTAGAAAAATAGGTTTAATATTGATCAAAATTTTAACTTCTTTTGTTTATCAGTAACTTAACAAAATGCATTTATTAAGATCATTAAGATTTCTGCTTTATTATTTTTCTTGTGGTCTTTTTCATTTTTAAATATAACCTTTTGTTGACGTCACTTTCAAAGGAATAAAAGACGTTCTATAAACTTTTGTTTTTAATTTTAAAGAAATTATTGTAAATGTTTTGTAATAAATTTTCTGCTGTTCTTTTTTTACTGTCAAACCCTATAATACTCAGAAACATTGTGGTGTCTTTAATTGATAAGACGTCAAACCACAGCATTATTTGCATTTGATTTGGTTTTCAGAAAAGAAATTGATAATGTATATTAAATAAACGCGATCATAACTAATCATTACTAAGAGTCGAAAACAAGCAATAGGGTTTGACCACATGATTTAGAAATTCTAAATATTAGATCTAATATAATTTAACTTAGATTCAAAAAAGTGTAAAGAGCAAGACTACCCATGTTCATTTAATTCGAAGTAATTCAAAAAATAATTATTATAATACCGCAACAAGTTATAAAACTTTAGATATATACACAATCCTAAAAGTAAAAGTATTATTGTGTTTAAAAAAAATTTATTTTTATTTTATTTTTAAATTTTATATTTTTATTATTTTTTAGTTATTTTCCCCACTTTGGTAACATACTCATATCGTTACAAGTAAAAATTGTGTGTCTATTTTTTGTTCCAGAGATTTTAAATACTAAAGACGACATAAATTAAAACCAAACAGGTTTTAGATTCTAAAAAATAAAATATATTTTAAGTTTAAAAATGTATTTGGAACCTTATCTGTCTAGGTTTTAGAAAATGAAACATATTTTAAGTTTTAAAATATATTTCAAAAGGTTTTAGGTTTTAGAAAATAAAATATATTTTAAGTTTAAAAGTTTATTTGAAACCTATTTAAATATTTGGAACGTGTTCTGTCCAGGCTCTAGAAAATCAAACATATATTAAGTTTTAAAATATATTTCAACAGGTTTTAGGTCCTAAAAAATCAAATGTGTATTTCGGGTTTTAAAGTTTTTTTGAAACCTTTTTAAATATTTGAAACCTGTTCTGTCCAGGTTTTAGAAAATCACATATATTTTAAATTTTAAAATATATTTCAACAGATCTTAAGTTCTAGAAAATCAAATATATTTTAAATTTAAAATTATATTTAAACAGGTTCTAGAGTCTGACGCTTAGCTTAATTTGTCTCATAAAATTTATCTTTTAAAATTATTAGCAAAGAATGGGGTCCCCGTCTTTCGCTAAAGTTGTAAAGATAAAAGAAAATGCTATACAAGAGATTTACAAGAGAATGCACTTATAACTTTAAACCGTAATAATAATTATAAAGAAAATAATCCAGTTTATTACACTTTGAGGCATTAAAATACTTTATCGAAATAATAAATTAACTATTTTCCTAGATTATAAATGAAATTTATATATACTTAATATGTATAAAATTGTAACCTGTCGTAGATTATACACTTTACAAGAACTAATATTTCATTAAAATAATTTTAATTTATTTAAATTAATATTAAAATGTATATACGCACATTTCTACAAGCGATAAACATATGAAATATATAAACCAAACATATTACAGGTTATATTACACAAAAAAACAAAATGCAAACCACAAAATTTAATAGAAAAATTTATTTTCAAGTCAAAAAAAAAAAAATTTATATGATTTACATAAGGACTATAAAAAAACCAAAACTATTATTAACAAAAAAAAAAAAAAATATGTTAGTATGTGGGACTCTCATTACCTTCAAATCTGTGTCTACAATTTTTTCTGATTTGTGTGCAGCAGCTGGTGTCGGTTCTTTATTCAAGTTAATATTGGTAGTGACATTTACAGCAGCAGCACTAGATGTAGCGCCTGCCGATTTAGCAGCAGCATCAGACATCGGATTATGATTTGGTAAAGATATATCGACTTTAGACGGTTCTAAAGACGTCGCTGTAGGTGTCGGAGTTGTAGTAGTTGATGTTGTTGTTGTTGTAATTTCACTTAATGTTGATCCAGCAATGGACACAATGGGCGTATCAGGTATAATGGCGGCGAGTGATGCGGTGACAGATAAAAAGGATTTGCCGATTTCATTGTTCATTTTCTCGTAAGAAAGAAAATCGCAACAAATGCCATTAAAAGTAAAATATTTTATTTTCGTAGGATAATGTATGAAGGAACGTTTGAAGAAGAAGAATATCCGATTACTTATGTTACGGAGTTATATTAATGAGTTATGACAGTGCAATAAAATTATTACACCAATTAAGGATACCCAAAGTCACTTTTAATATATGTATATATATATAACAATATCTATATTTATTTGTTTGTATACATATGTATATGGATCTGTATACATACACACATAAAATATAATTTTGTTCTGTATTTTATTGCACTTTCAGCATTTTGATTAATTTAATGCTACTAAACACTACTTTCACTATATTATTTTATAATGTTCTTTTTCAGTCAATACAATTCAGAATAAATCATCTGTGGTTCAAATATAAGAAATGTTTAATTAATTTACTTTTTTAAAAAAATTTTTGCTGCGTAACATACACAATGCAAAACACGATTTGTCAAAAATTCGCCATTTCAACACATTAAAATGATTAATTCAAGCCGCATATGACAAATAAAGATGTTGGAAAGAGACAATATTATAACATGTTTTTATAAAACAACAAATATAAAAATTCAGGGTTGGAATATGATAAGGCAAAAAGCTAACATTGACCAACGATGACAAAGGTTTATGTCTACTAATTAATAAGTAATTTTTAACAAATGTTACAGAACTAAAATAAATTATGTTTATGTAAGTGCGTATAAAACTCAGGCTTCCAATTAAACACTGTTATTATTAACAATAAATAAATAAAATTGTCTTTTGCCAATTAATCATCAAATTTTATATTTATTTTTGATAAACATTTATGAAATAATTTTAGCAATGTTTGGATAGAAGAAAAATCAGGCGCCTGTTATTTGACCTTTTCGTTGTTATATTTGTCTCTCTCTAACTACAATTTGCGAAACACGTCATTTTCAATAGATTTTTCTACCTTTGTATTGCTTCACAAATAATTCTTTTTCAAAATTTTTTTATAAAGAATAAATTAAAAATTTTGTCTACATATTTTAATTTTATTATTATTTTTAAGAACAATATTTAATTGTTTAAATTAATAAAACACAACTTATTATTTCATTAGTTTCTTTATGTTTTCACAATTTTTATTTTTTTTATTCTCTTTGATTTTTCATTCGTATTCGACTTAACTTAAAAAAAATATAGCACTCATGTATTTCAATTTTATAAAGTTTAAACAAAAAAAGCCGGATATTTATTTTAATATTATATATTATTACTTCGTTTTAATTGTCTTTTTTTAATTAATTTAATTTGCTGTAACGCCGATATTTAAGGATAATATGAACAGCAAAGTTCGACACAATTTTTCGTATATACTTTACTGTCGACTTGTGTGTGTGCGTAAATTTAGATATTGTGAATTCATTTTACAACATCGCCACACCGCGGATAAATATAACATTAAAATATTACAAGTTATAGATGCTACAGAGATGGTTTGACTACAAAAGAAAAATTAAAAAGTTTAATAGATAATCGTGAATAAGTTCATATAATTTTTATAACTTTTAATTAAAAAACAAAAAAACGAAAAATGTGAACATATAATATGTAGTTATTCTTATAAATATATGTTTTTATCATACATAATTTCTAAATACAGATAATATATTAATTATGAAAAGGGAAAATTCAATAAAACATATGAACATAGAACACATGAGCATAAAAATAATAAAAATTTATTCTTTAAGTTGAAAAAGAAGTTTCTTTTTCTCAATTTTAAAAGAATAATTTAAAATATTAAAGCATCTAATTGAAATTAGATTTAACTAATTAACTTAACATGAATTAATTAACTCTTAAATAGTACATAGCATATTCACGCTGTCTCATCTATGCACTTGCTTATTTATATTGAGTGAACGTTCTCATTATAATGAGCTCATTTATGTAGCTGATAGAACTTTTATAAACTTCATTTATTAATGTATCACACAAAACAATTATATATACGTATAGTTAATATATTAAATCATTTACATACATTTAATATATCAATTACATATTTAATTAATAAAAACAAATATTTTATTAAATACTTATTTCCTCAATGCCTTTGTTTTGGTTATTTCCCTTGTGGGAAAATAAGGAGACATTGCTATTACCTTTGGCAGCATCCTATTATTATAATTAATTCGATGAACTGCAAAAAAACTTGGACGCAAAATATTTTCCGGTATATTAAATTTTAATAAGGTATTATAATTTTGGCTCTTATACTCATGTAAAACCATTCAATAACAAATAAATAAATAATACTATGTTCACGCACACCTAAATTTCGCAAAAGTCTTAATTTCATCTTCGTTTTAGTGAAATTAAATTGTTTTCTCCATACAAAATTCAGTTTTGAGGTTAAAACGAATTTAAGGAAAATGGCCTTATATCTCGTTAAAACGAAGGCTAAAATTAAGGAACATTTCAAATGCAACTATGCGTAAGATAAATTTTAAGCAAAAGATAAAGTTGAGATAACGAAAAAGTGTCATTTTTTTAAAATAAATGTCGATGACAGTTTTATTAAATTGGGAAATATTTTGAGAGTAGTGCAAATTTTTAAAATTGATTATAGAGAAAAAACTGTAACTGTTATTTATTTAAAATAGAGTGAAAAATAAAAATTTACTAAACCTAATAAAACTACTGAATGACCTTTATAGTAATAACAATCAACTTTTAAAATTTCCCAAATACAAATCGTATTTGGAACATGTAATATTTAACATTAGATTTGTAAACAGAAAACACATAATTTCCTCTATTTGAGACAGTATGAAAACTTCGAAATTAACTTCATTTCATTTTTATGAAATTAAGGAAATTTGGCTGTCTGAACATAGTATAAGTGTACATTTACTACTACATTTAGCAGTTCAAACCATTAGAATATGCATAAAATTGTAATAAATTATTAATATTACTATTATAGTATTAATAATAACAAAATTAATATTATAATATTAATAATTCTTAAATTAATATTATAATATAAAATAATTAATATATTATTCATATTTTAATTGCTAAAAAATAGTCTCAAATATTTAATATCAGCTGTTAGCATTAATTGACATATATGCATAACTGTCAGAAATATTTTGTTTGGGCGGTGACATATGTAAATCAGCGGTAGTAACATACCTGTTTTTGGAAATAATGAGTAGTTGCATTGAGGTGTTTTGATTTTCCACGTACAAGCAAACGAGGGTGAAAATTCCGTCATAGTAAAACAACTTCCATGCGGAGAGCAGCGGGAGTGATTTTCGTTAAACAATTGCACGGATATTAAGTATAATAAGATTATACATATACAAAGGAATTAAACCGAATAAAAATGGGAATGACGGAGCACGATAATGTTTTCATTTTTATACCAAATTTGATCGGTAAAAAAAACGTCACAGTAATTATTAAATATATTCCTATAAGAATGCTATGAAGCCAAAAAAAACCTAAATGTTTTAATTTAATTAGTTGATACAAAAATAGTGTTATTGATTTTTAAACTTTTATGTATCTATACTACTTAGTGTATATACAAATATTGTATCACTTCGTGTACCTTAAAGTAATAACTTCTAAATACATTTTCTATATATTAGGATATGCCAGGATTATTTTGGCTGTTATTGCATTTTGGTTCATGTCCACAAATTACATTATATCTGGTTGGTGTTATGTAATTAGCGCTCTACTGGATGCCGTTGACGGTCATGCGGCCCGCGCTTTTAATCAAAGTAAGTAACACAATATGATAAAAATGTAGATTCGTTATCAATTGTTTTATTATAATTTCTAAAACTTAAAATTTTATGTATGAGGCACTCATATAAAAGCATTCGATTTATTAAGTTGTTATTCAATAACAACTATCTTGTTTGTAATATTTTCTTATAATATAAAAACTCTGTATATTGTGTATCAAAATGTGTGACGCAGAGAATAAATCATCTTCGATCCTATTAAAAAAACACATATATTCGTAATAAATGAAAACATTTATTTGTTTTTATTTCTTTGAGAAGACATACCAACAAGTAGTACCTTGAACCTTTGCTGAAAGGATTGCAATCAGTTTATTTCATAATGGAAATGCGATCTGAATAATACGGTATAATCATAGTAAAGATGTATTTAATTGCAATAATACAAATAATATCATAATATATTATCTACCAATAATAATAACTTACACAATATTAAATGTTTTTACTTATTTCTTTCATATCTTTTTAGATTTATTTATCATACAAACAAATGTTTTAAAAATATATTTTATAATAAAATTTTTTTATTTACTTATATTATTTATCATAGAGGGTAACGTAATTAATGTTAGACGTTATAATTTAATTTTGAACTAATCAGTTATAATTTGAAAATATAAGTCAAAATTGCTGATGATGATTAAAAGCCCTATAAAAATCTTTCATATTTTTGACTGTAATCTGTGCAAATATTTTTGATATTTTTATACATACACAGATATCAAATGGAGAAGGGTTATATACATAACAAAAAGAGTTCAAATCTAGGCTATCCTAACAAAAATAGCTATTTGTTTGCTTGCTCCGATTTAAATATTGGAACTACTGTTGCAAGTATTTCTTTAGTTTATTTCTGTATCTGCAACTTTCGTGTATCAATTTTGAATAGGATCTCAAACTAAAAATTATACCATGAGAGTTACGATTTTGATTAAACACTTTATGGTTTAAAAATACATTTCTTTTTTTATAATTTCAAAATATTTAAATAAGAATGTGTATTTTTTTTAACGTATATAATAATTTAAATGCTATTCACTACATTTATTGCTCCTAATAAACAAAATGATGGTTTTTATGTTTAACGTATGTTATTATTCCTTAAAGGCACACGCTTTGGAGCAATGCTCGATCAGCTGACGGATCGTTGTGGAACTATGGGTCTATTGGTTACCTTAAGTTATTTTTATCCAAAATATATGTTTTGGTTTCAAATATCCATAGCCATTGATGTTGCTTGCCATTGGCTTTATATGCAAACGTAAGTATTTTTAAGTTCTTAGTGATTATATATAAGAATAAAATGAAAACCTGTCGACATTATTCAAACAAAATAATTTTTATACATATATAGGAGCGTTGTTGTTGGAAAAACCTCACATAAGGCATTTGACGTCAATGAGAACATAGTAATGCGTATTTATTATCAGAAGGATGTGCTGACATTCATGTGCTGCGTAAACGAGCTTTTCTATGTATGTCTTTATTTGTTAAATTTTACCTATGGACCATTAAGTAAGTATAATAGTTACACTATTAATAAGCTAAAATATACATATATCAAAATTTATTGCCTTTTAGTATTAGGAGCTTCCACATTTAAAATATTGGCATTCATAACTGCACCATTTGCAATCTTAAAATCTTTAATATCATGCGTACATGCATATGTTGCCAGTATTGATTTAGCAGCAGTGGATGTAAAAGATCGTCAGGCGAAACGACAAAAGGAGGAGGGCAAAAAAGCAGAATAAACTAGAAGTAAGATTATCTGAAATTGAGAATTCCAAATATATTTTTAAAGTCAATCAAAGCAGCAGTCATTTGCTTTATAACTAATCAATTATAAAAAATGAATTTACTTATGTATTTATTGTTTTAAAATTATTGTATATTTAGATTTTATATTTGTAAATTTTTATTTAAATTTTCTTGAAGAAAAATAGTTTAAGTTAATTTTTTTTTGTAATATAATTTATAAATCAAAAGTATTTTATTGTGATCATAGTAAAATTAATATTATTTATTTAAAATATCATATTTCTGTTAATAATTAAAAACAAATCATTTATGACGGTAAGGCCAAAATAGATCAATTTTTTTGAGAAATTGTATTCCAAAAAATTTTATTTCAAATACTTGAAGACTTGATTTTTTTAATATTGTATATTTACATTTTTTAAAAAAATTTTTGTTTTATATCGTGTTATAAATATTTCTTAAATGTAAATGGATATATGAAAACTAAATGAATACATGTAATAATTTAAATTAAACAAATTAATTGTTTTAAAGGTGTTATTAAGAATATTAATATTGTTTGACTAACAATGTGTAATATATGTACCTCAAATAAATATTTAAAAATATATTCTTTTGTCTTTAATTTCAAATCATGTAGTTATATATTTCATAACATGTATGGAAAATATCAGCATTTGCTTCGACTGAACATACCTAATTGCAAACATATGATTTATAATTTATAGATTGGTTATGGACATTACGTCTTGTTGACATAAAAGTGGATTTGTTTAGGTTTTGTTAATATGTTACAGACTGTTAAAAATATTGCTAAATTAAGTATACAATATGCTTGTGTAACACATTGCATCTTCGAATATATTGCAGATTTTGTTGTGGTAAATTATTTCCATTTTTAGTATTAATTGGTATTAAGAACCAAATAAGTTTTCAATTCAACTTGGAAGATAAAACTACATAATGTAATTTATCATGGCAAATCTTTTACTAATTTCGTAAAGCATTCCAAATTTGTTTTCAATTATAACTAATGCTTACAACCAAAATAAAGGTAACGAGTTCAAACACTTGGTTTGCTTATTTTACCTAATGGTTATCAACGATTATTACGATGTGTTGTTTATTATTGTATTGATGCCAGGATTTTTCAAATAAATATTCAAAATAAATATATAATTGATAAGACGAGAAGAATGTTATTTGATAAAATATTATAAATTATTTATAAATCTACAATTATGAAAGGGGTCTAATGAAGTTAATTTTCTTACAGTGTTCTGGTCCTTCAATGCAACCAACATTATTTACAAATAACATTTTATTTACTGAAAGGATTACTTTGAATTATAGTGTACCAAAACGTGGTGATATTATAATTGCAGTATCTCCAACTAATGCTGATCAGTATATATGTAAACGTGTAATTGGTGTTCCTGGGGATAAAATTATAAAAAAAGCGACTTCAAATGAAGAATATAAAATAGAAAAAAACACAAATGAATATGTACCTCGTGGACATATATGGATAGAAGGAGATAATCGTGAAAATAGCTCAGACTCTCGAAGCTATGGTCCAATACCATTAGGTTTAGTTAAGAGCCGAGTATTATTAAGGCTATGGCCATTAAATGAAATGAAATTATTGTAAATAAATTAAATTTGTATTAGTAAAGAATTGCGAATATGGTGAATGTGTTATTGACAAATCAATATTTGCGGATCAAAACCTCTTAAACTCATTTTGCTTAGTTGAATTATTTATTTTACATTACTTTAATTGATGTTCTATCTGAAATAGTCTCATAAACACAATATTATATATTTTACTACAGATTAATTTATTTCAAGAAGTATCTATTTGATTTTGAAATATATAAAACGATCAGCAAAAATTTTCTGTAAAGAATATGCTCATATATTAAAAATATGAAGCGATATTTAAATATGTTTTTACCTACCCAATATATAGATAATGTATATGGCCCTGATAATCGATATATAAGTTAACACGCGTTACACTTGCTACATAAGAATAATGTGGTTATAATTCTTATCAGCACAAGAAACAAGCGTTAACTTATGAATGATTAACATGCGGTATATTATATATTGATTAGTCCAGAAGCAACAGTCACATTAAAAACGTGATCTAGTGCAGCTCTATCAAACTTCGTGTTAGTAATAATATCGCTATAACCGTTAATCTGGTTGTCTATATGTTATTAGAATACCTAGTGTTTTATTTTAGATACCGCAAATGATAGGATTCGTTAAGAATTTTAAAATTTTCATAATACTATACCGTACTTTCCAAATAAAAGTCAAGTAACAGAAAATATATCTAGATAGTTTTAGACCCTGAGTTTTTCCTATATATACGGTAACACAATCGGTCAATAAACCTAAGTAAATCCACTAGGGATCGCAGGTATTAGCTAACCTCACCTAACAGAAATTAATATGATATTTACTCTCTGAGTTTACGCACAACTTTGGGAATGCATTATAATAAATATCAAGTAATTCAAATGTTTTAGGGGCACTACAGACGATCAACAGGCTTGATACTTCAAACCAGATACATTGAACCATTCACTTTTATAAATCGTTGAACTGTACGCTCAGTTATTTCAGATTCAGATGTAGGGATTGCTGCCGGTAGAATTAGAATTGCTTCTCTTTTGTAATGAATCTTTTTATTATTCACACATTAGTTTATATTCAATTTATTTTATTTCATTTGTGTTGAAATAGTGTTTCCGCTGCAAATTTGAATATCAATCAAATGTTGAACATATACACAGTGTTATAAATGATTTCGATATTTAAATACACGATGAAAAATAAAAATATTTTGATATTTGGTCCAGTTCTACAAGATCAGTTTGTGTGAATGCATGCATATATATTTCACTTATATATATATTCAAAAGCATGATCATGTAAACTGACCGTCGGTATTGGCCTTTATTCTTATTGACCATTTTTTAAAGTTGGTAATTTTAGTTTTAAACTTAATATAACAATGAACTCTTTGTTAAACTTTGCAACAATATGTATAGAATGTGCTATATATTTTATATGAAAGATTAGGACTTAACTCGGGTTTTTAAATTTTACTTGAACAAATTTATTACGTTAAATTTTAGTTTTGTATAGCACAAAGATCTTTTTCTTTGCTATTTTTTTCTTGTATAGATGACAAAATAATAAAATTTAAGTTAGTTATTATTGTATCTTACTATAAATACAAACGGTAATAATCCTATTGTAAATCATAAATATATATGGTAATATAATCATCCATTACCTTAAACATTACCTTAAATATTAATTTTAAAAATAACAAAATGTACTGAGTAATTTGTAAATTTAATCAGCAACTCTGGTCTTTTAAATACATCTCTGGAAAGAGGTTGAACTGAACAATCACATTGCTTTTAGATTTGTCATATGCACATTTTGCATAGCCGGGCGTGATTGCTACTCTAGAATTTTCTTTTTTAAATTTAAAAAACAAATTATTTAGTATTTGTTAATATTATTAAAAATGGCATCAATAAGTCTTTTAAATCCTAAAGCGGAGTTTGCTCGTGCTGCTCAGGCTCTAGCAATTAATATATCTGCAGCTAAAGGTTTGCAGGATGTGATGCGTACCAACATAGGACCTAAAGGAACAATGAAAATGTGAGCAGTATTTTTAATTTTTTTTATTTTGTAATTGTTATCAAGTTCTGTAAGTATGTTATCCATACTTTATTTATATTAAAAACATTAAATTGGTTTCATATGCCAAGTTACAAAGCATGCAAATGTGAGGTTAAGTTAACTACAATGCGTCATTTGTGTTGAATATATCTGTTTACAGTAAGCAAGTAGCATACAACATTTGAATCTCTTTAAAGTTATACTTTAAGTGTTATAAACTGTATGTTCTTGTTTCAACTAGATTTTATTATAAATTAATATTAACTATACATAACTAAATCAAAATGGAAATCTTTGTGAAAAGCGATAATCTTACAGTGAAAAAAGCTTGAAAAACTTATTTGAAGGAACTAACAAAAATATGCAATAAAGTTTAACTATGCCACTTTAAAAAACCTTAGTTGTACTCCATTTGAGTGCATAAAGTATTAAATAAAATTATGAAATATACATTTTCTCAAACTAATATTTTTTTCTCTTTTTTAAAGGTTGGTGTCCGGAGCTGGTGACATTAAAATTACTAAAGATGGTAATGTCTTATTGCATGAAATGCAAATTCAGCATCCTACGGCTTCAATGATTGCAAGAGCAAGTACTGCGCAAGATGATGCTACAGGAGATGGTACCACTTCTACAGTATTATTAATTGGTGAGCTGCTAAAACAAGCTGATATATTCTTAGCAGAAGGATTGCATCCACGTATTGTCACAGAGGGTTTTGAAAAAGCAAAAGATAACGCATTAGCGATATTGGATACAATGAAAATTCCTATTGAAATCAATAAAAAGAATTTAACTGAAGTAGCGAACACAAGCTTAAAAACTAAGTTACATCCCGCTCTAGCTGATCTTTTAACAGATGTATGTGTTGATGGTGTATTAGCTATAAAAAAAGATGAGAAACAAGTTGATTTGCACATGATTGAGTTAATGGAAATGCAACATAAAACTGCAACTGATACTACGCTAATACGTGGTATAGTAATGGATCATGGTTCACGCCATCCTGATATGCCCAAACGGTTAGAGAATGCTTATATTTTAACTTGCAATGTTTCATTAGAATATGAAAAATCTGAAGTTAATTCGGGCTTTTTCTACAAAACTGCAGAGGAACGCGAAAAATTTGTATTAGCTGAAAGGGACTTTATTGATCAACGTGTTAAAAAAGTGATTGAACTAAAGCGTAAACTATGCGATGGCACAGATAAATCGTTTGTTGTAATTAATCAAAAAGGAATTGATCCTATATCATTGGATGCGCTTGCCAAAGAAGGTATAATTGCTTTACGACGTGCTAAACGTAGAAATATGGAGCGCTTAGCTCTTGCTTGTGGTGGCACTGCAATGAATTCTTTTGATGATTTAGAGGAATCCCATTTAGGCTATGCAGGTGTAGTCTATGAACATGTGCTTGGTGAAAACAAGTACACATTTGTAGAAGAATGCAAAAATCCGCAGTCAGTTACAATTCTGATTAAGGGACCGAATAAACATACGCTTGTTCAAATTAAAGATGCTATACGTGATGGTTTACGTGCTATTAATAACGCAATAGCTGATAAATGTTTGATTCCTGGTGCAGGTGCTTTTGAAGTGCGTGCCTTCAATGAACTTATGAAGTACAAAGACACTGTTAAGGGTAAGGTTCGTCTTGGTATACAAGCATTTGCAGAAGCACTACTTGTAATACCAAAGAATTTGGCAATAAACAGTGGTTATGATGCTCAAGATACTATTGTGAAGCTTACTGAGGAGGATCGACTAAATTCCGATGCGATTGGTTTAGATTTAGCTACCGGTGAGCCTATGAAACCAATCGATTTAGGTGTATATGATAATTATATTGTTAAGAAGCAAATTCTAAATTCCTGTTCTATAATTGCTAGTAACTTATTACTAGTGGACGAAGTAATGAGGGCTGGTATGACAAATCTTAAAGGTTAGGTGCAATGACACCTTACGATTCTACGATATAACCTGCTTCTCGTATTTTTTTCTCACAATCATTAACCACTTATTTCAGTTTTAGTAATATAATTATTTTTGCGAATTCATTTACTTGAGTTATATTAAATCACCAATATATATTAACTATAACTAAATTTAAAACATTTGTATTAACTTGTAATTTGAATAAAAACGCTTCTATAATGGTATGTATTTTAATTATTAAATTGTGAAAACTTGAAATGAAATACGCACTTACTACATTTTCCATTCGGATCGTTCCTTTAATTGTTTTTTGTGGGTCTAATGATATATTGAATAGATTTTTAGTAGATATTGTAAAAAAGATTTTTTAGATAGATATGCGTAATAAATATTATTAGTTACTTAAGTAACTAATTACCAATGCTGGTAGTATAAACTAGGTGAAGTTGCTTATAAAGTATATATTTTTTAAATTTATTTTAGCGTCTTTTAACTGCTGCTATCCTGAGAGAACACTTATGCCAACGTTTTTTTCAATTCTAAAAACAAGGGTTAAAGCCAATTACCAATGCTGGTAGTATAAACTAGGTGAAGTTGCTTATAAGGTATAAAACCATTTTTTTTTTTTTTTAATTATTTTAGAGTCTAAACTACTGCTATCCTGAGAGAACACACTTATGCCAACGTTTTTTTCAATTCTAAAAACAAGGGTTAAAGCGCTCTGCCTTGTTTCAGTTTTTATCTTTTTAATCGTGTCCAAACAGCTTTCGCAACACCTACAATTAGAATGGTGCTAAACCAATCGAATACGATAATGTGTTAAAATTTTGAGAAAATAGACTGGAAGAACTAATGCATTGTGAACTGTCTACCCACAATTGTTTGTTTTTTGCGAAACGTTTTAATGTTATATGAAGTGTAATCATTTTTCTTAACAGATTTGTTGAGCGAAAAAAAATTCTTGATTTATCACGCCACAATAATCAAAGAAATCATTAACGTGTTCTTGTTTTTTGATCAATTTAGCGTGATCTTTTTGATCTTGGCTTACCTAATAATGAGTACTATTTTAAGTGGTCTCTTGCTTGTGAGTTATAAATTTTGATTCAAGTCGTATCACCAGTTATGCATTTTATCTTATCGTAGTAGTAAACATTGTTTAATATACTTTAATATACTGCTGTTTTTCCAAAACATTGAATGTTTTTGGTATCAAACATTTTAAAATTGTCAACTGAAAGTTTTAACAGTTTCAACGCTTTCTCTTACTTAACTTACTAAGTAAGTAAGGCTTGTAGTAACTTTGAGTAACACTGTGTATAGACAAGTGCGTTCTACCAGAAAATTTAGAGTAAATGAGAGCATCTGAGAGAACGTAACATCCCTGTCAAAAACTAAAAATACTACACAAATTTCACTCGTACATTTTGTTTCAAGTAAAACTTGTGTTGATCAGCTATTTTGGTTTGAAATTAATTTTTGTATTGCTTATTTGCGCGGTACTGGTGTTCTCACCAGACTTTACACAAACCTGTTCCATGAAAATCTGACTAAAGAGAGCATAATTTGGTATTTTGGTATTTTTGAGTGTTACTACGAGTAGCTCGTGGAACAGACCTATAATTGCAGTTAAAATTTAAGTAAACTGTATTTGGAATTTAGTGTTATATTTTTGGCGAGGCGGCAACTCTAAAATATTTATTCAATTAGTTTTTTATAGTTGAATAATTTAATAAAATTATCTGTTTAATATTATGAATTGTTATGCAAATTTAAATAAAACATTAAAAAAATATTTACTAAGGGATTCAAAAAAAACTATAAATATATATATATGAATATATATAAAGCAATCTTTGCGTTATCTTCATCCAATGCAAAGAGCACTTATACAAGTATTCTTTGGTCAAAATTAAACAAAAATATGTTCAGTAATTGCAAAACAAAAATGATTTCATAAAATTTCAGTTGTAATAAGTTTATAAGTATTGTTTATAAGTTTTGAAGATAGATTAGTTTATAATTTTGATTGTTTTAAAATGGATAAATTTCCACAAAATATAATTGAACAATATTTAAAGACTTCAGTGAGATTAAAAAAGTTCGAAAGAATCGTATTCAAGTAATGAACATATATCGTTAAAAGGTATTGGTAATTGAATTTTTAAAATTTACAGACGATTCGCACCAAACGTTTCAGAAGTTTTAAGCGAATTTTCAAGCTTAGCCAAAAAATTTGAAGATGCTGGAATTTACCAGTATGCAGCGATGTGTCACTTAGGAGTGGCAAAATGCGAAAACTCAAATGCTAACACAGTAAATGAGTGTCATGCATATTTAAGAGCAGCACGTTCATTCCGTTTAGCGATGAATACATCAGAAAATCTGTCATTCCGCACAAGCCAAAATCAATACAATGAAGGAGCAATTCGCTGCTATACACAAGCAGTGCAACGTTGTCCAGATGATGTACTACGCTGTGCTATAATACGTGAAATGAAACCTGCATTTGAAGGTACAAGCAGTTTTTCATCACCTGGGCATCGTATATTTGAACTAGAACTCTCGGCTCATGAGTGTTTACAAAAGAACGATTTTATGGAAGCGTTACAGCAATTAGAAGAAATCACAGATGACATATATGAACGCAAAAAACAATTACTGGTAAGATTTGCATTATTTATTTTTATATAACTTTTTAATGTATAATTATTGTTTTTTTAGTATGAAGATTTATTAAAACGAGTTGAAATATTACGTTTACTGCTGATTATAGCATTAAGATTGCCACCGGCACGTCAGTCACCCTCACATATTAAATTAACAGAGTATTACTATCAATTGGGCAATTTTGAACTTTTTGAAGAAGAATCCAACAATTGTAATAATTCCATACAAGGTGCTTCTTTGTCATTGGATATAAAATATGCACTTGGGGAAATTGTAGTTTTATCGTTTGAAGATAAAAGAAGCGAATTAAAACTAGCCTTGCAACAATTTATGTCAGATTTTAGCTCGTTAAATGCGGCGCACTGTTTTGTAATAAACTCCATATGTAATAAAATTAATTAAATTTGTGATGTAAACATTTTTTGCTTTGTAAAGAATTAGTACTATATTCATAGTTTTGAAACCTACATGCAAAACTGTAAATAGCAAATTTATGTGCAGCTTTAGACACTTAAACGTGAAAATGTAGATCGTCAATAAAGTCAAAATTGTTTAATTTAAGTATCTATCCTATATATACTTTTAAAATTATTTAAATTTGTGAGGTAATTTTGTAATTCATAATTTTATTTGATAAAAGAAAAGAATATATACGAAATTGTGTAGTGTAATTAAAGTCAATTTTTATTTAACTCAACATACAGAGCTTTACTTTAAAACATAAACGTATTTATTTATTTCATAATGTATTTTTATATATATTTTAATTTTTTTCAATTTAAGAAGCTGTAATTTGGAAATATATTTTATTATGCATTTCATAATTGTAAATTGTTATTTTTTTAATTAAGTTGAGGCAAGTTAATTAGGTTAAAATTATTATTCGAACATTATTTATAGAGTTTATAAAATATAATTTTATGTTCTATTTATACAACTTTAACATTTTTTTATTCAAAATAGTTTTATTCTTAAATACATTAATAATATATGCATAATTTAACAAAAAATTTGGGTTTCATTTAATTAAAAAAAATTGAATATCTAAATAAAATAAACATATTGTATATATATATAGTTTTGCTTATTTGTGTGCCTTCTAATGTTTTATAGTTTAAAGAAAATACAATAATAAATATTTGCTAAATCACAAAAATTTGTATATAATTTAAATAGTTTATCTATTACCATAAAGAATATAAGTTCAAATTAATAATTTGCAAATTCGTGTAACTAATTTCTTTAAATAAAAATACTTATTTCTTCTTTCGATCATTTTCGTCTGAGATTTTATTTTTGAGATGATCCTTGTAATCTAGAATGTTACCATTCCATTTAGTTACTGTCTCATTCTCACAGATCCAAATTGCTTCGGCAACCTGAAATTATAAAATAAATAATTAATCGATATTAACAAATATAAAATATTATTAATAAAAATAATATATCAAATATAGAATAAATTTTGTCATAAATAGTAGTGTCAACTTAATATTTATATGTCAGAAAGTGAATATTGTTTAAAAATTGAAAGCACTTTTTCAACGTTATAAAAATTAAGTAATATGCTGCAGATATAATTATCACTATCTCAACTTTCAACCTTAATTCAATAGGTGGTTAAGAAAAAATAACATTTAAGAGCAAAATTTATTTGCTAACTTCGAAAACATCACTAATTACAGCACATTGCATTACACTTTACACTGTAAAGTTGCAAGAACGTCTCGAAGGCACCTATCTGGCAATTTGAAATGGCATTCACCATTTCTAACTGGTCTTCAATAATAACAACACAGTATAGAACCTATGGACTAAGGGAATTATTTTATTTATTTATTTGTTTAACACTAAAATTAATTTTAAAGTTAACTAAGAATAAGGAACTCGACAACTAGGCCCCGCGCACTGAAAAAGAATTAAGATAATATACTAGCTTAAAGCATTTGTTTCCATTTCCTTTTTTTATTGCCCACCTTTAATTTCTAACCAAGTAAGTTGACGTAGTCTAACAATTTGTCATTTGTTAAAAAAAATCTTAAAATATTTTTTTTCAAACAGCACTACTGATTAAACTATTTTGCATTAGATTGCTATCAATAAATGATATCTAAGTTTTAATAAATATTTTCTAAAAAAAGTGTTTAGTCTATCTTAATATTCGGAATTATTATAGTTATTTAATTTAATAATATTATAGTTAATTTTAATAACTATAATATGCATGAATTAGTATTAATCTAATAGTTTATATACATTTATGTATAATGAATATTTAAATTATATTAATGTTTATAACAAATGTGTAGATAATAATTAAGCATGGGAAAAAGATATAAAATAAAAGAGTAATATGTATACAAAATATTAATGATAATAATTAAAAAAAATTTAATTATATTAATTTAAATTTTGATTGACATATAAACTGACCTGATTAATCAGACGAAAATCGTGACTAACTAACACCATTCCACCATCGAAGTCATTAATTGCGTCCGCTAAAGCATCAATAGTTTCCATATCCAAATGATTAGTAGGTTCATCGAGTAGCAATAAATGTGGAACTTGCCAAGCTAACCAGGCAAATACTACACGGCAACGTTGACCATCTGATAACTGTCTAATGGGACATACTTGTTGTCTGCCTGTCAGTCCATATCGACCAATAATTTTACGCATTTCCTCTTTTTCCTTAACGTCAGGAAAAGCACGCATCATATACTCCAGTGGACTAGCATCCAGATCCAGTAATTCATGTAAATGTTGATGGTAGCGTGCAATACGTAAATGTGAATTTTTACGTATCATGCCTGATGTTGGAACTAAATCACCATATAACAATTTAAGTAAGGTCGATTTGCCAGCACCATTAGGACCAACCAAAGCTAAACGAGTATCTAAATCGATACCAAATTCAAGATTTTTATAAATCCATGGCGTGGTTTCATTATAACGGAAATTAACGTTCTAATAAAAAAAAATAATATTAAGATATAATTCTTATACACATAAATTTAAAACTTCTTACCTGCACCATTATTACGGGTGGTGGCACTTTACCACATGATGGGAAATAGAAGTTTAATATTTTATCATCTGTTACTTTCTCTGTCAAACCTTGGGCCACCATCTTAGCTAAAGTTTTTTCCTTTGATTGTGCTTGACGTGCCAGTTTTGCAGAACCATGACCAAATCTTGCAATATAATTCTTCATATGTGCTATTTGATCTTGCTCCCAATTATATTGCTTCATTTGGTTTTCTAATAATTCCATTCTTGTGCGTACAAATGCCTCATAATTGCCGGTATAATATTTAAGTCGCTTTTTGGTCATATGAATAATATTAGTACAGACACCATTGAGGAAATCTTGAGAATGCGATATAAGTACAAGTATACGTTTATATGTTTTAAGTTCTTCTTCAAGCCATACACATGCATCCAAATCCAAATGATTTGTAGGTTCGTCAAGTAACAATAAATGAGGTTTGACAAACAGAGCGCGTGCTAAAGCAATTCTCATACGCCAACCGCCTTAAATAAAATAATTTTAAAATATATTAAAAATAGTAAAAAAAATTGCATAAAAAATAAAATGCAAATGTTTTTAGTTTACCTGAAAAGTCTTTAGCTTGTTTTTGCTGCATAGCTTTATCGAAGCCAAGACCATGCAATATCCGGGCCGCCTTAGCTTCAGCTTGATCTGCAGACATATCATCTAAGCGCTCGTATATGTCAATCAGTTGCTCTTGTGCATCGTCATCTTCGCTCATTGCTAACTCTTCAGCGAGTTTTTCAAGTTTAATACGTTCTTCATCCACTTCCATAACACACTCTAATGCACTTTTGGTACTAGCAGGTATTTCGCGTGTTAAGTGGAATATGTCTATATGGTCTGGTATGGGGACTTCACGATAACCAAGCACAGATAGTAACGAAGATTTACCACAACCATTTAGACCAATTAAGCCATAACGTCGCCCACAATTTAGCTCAAGCATAGTATCCTGCAAAAGTTCAGATCCAAAAAATGTTATGGAAAAGTTAGCCATTTTAATATCTCGAGAGCGTGGATGCACTGCCGATGAACCAGTACAGGAGCGAGCTTCAGCGCTAATCCTGGCTTCTTCTTCCAATTTGGCGCACAATTTCTCTTCTTCAGTCATTTCACGAGTTTCAGTTACGCCATTAGTGCCGTTTACTGCTATTCCCTTTTTAGACGAAGAAACCTGCTGGATTTTTTTATTTTTGGCATCCTTTTTGCGTTGAGCATCGCGTTTTTTTGCATCAGATGGCATTTTTTAACACAGAACCTTAAATATATATTTCAATTTTAAAAATTTAGAAAAAATACAAGAAAAAAAATTGTAACAATTTTCAATGCTATTCTTAAATTAAATGAAAATTTTATTATATAAAAATTTATGGACACTCTTTAGTAAAAAAATCAATTAAAATTCATACTTTCAATATTTACACAAGTGTAGAAAATATATTAAAATACAAATTAATTTTCTTTGACAGCCCTTAACAACAGCCCTAATAGAACAATTAATTGTGTTTAAAATGTGTTAAGCAATGCATTAAATGGTAATATCTATAATTAAAATTTATTTGAACAAAATTTTCATTTTTCTTAAGCACTTTGTTAAAGCAAATCTTAATCTACGTATTAACTCAGGTAGTTCATTTTACATTTAGCAATGAACAGGTAAAATTTATACAAAGAGAAATACGAATATATATGTATATTACTATATATCGGAATTTTTTTACCAATTTTGGTTCTTTGTTTCTTGCGAAATTCAATATTTGCAATATTATATAGTTTTGAGTAAATATACTAAATAATTTTTCACAATTTGTTTAAAAATATAATATTCTGCCTTAACGAACATTCTTACACACCTTTATGGAATTAAACTGACGTGCTCAATAATTAATTCACGTTTTAAAAAATAAATTTTCACGTGCTAAAAAAAGCGCCTCCGTACTGGCAACTGATTTACAACGAAGAGAACAAATTTTGTAACTATGTTTATAAAAAAAACCAGCTGTCAATATTTGCTATGTTCCATAAATAATTTAATGTTGTTTACCTCTGCAAGAAAATGCGATTTATACGTTCATACAAACTCGCAAATAATCACAACAAATTTATTAGTAAATTAATTTTTGGAAATGATTATAAAGCATTAAGTTTTTTATATTCAATGTAAAAATTAATTATTATTTTGACTGATACTTCAAAAAAGACTCAATTGAATTAAATTTTAATAATATAAAATGTTGTATAAAACGCATACAAATTTATTGTATTTTTGAACATATAGTATGTTGCCATTGTCTTCATTTAAGCAGTTTATTTGATTAAGGTCGCTTATGAAGAGAAGGTCGCTGTACCAAGAGATTTTATGCTTTCCTACTTAGTTAAAAATATATATTAAGGGCAATCACACCAAAAATGTCGAATGCAACATTGCAAAATATATTTCCAGAAGAGAAATGATTATGGATTTATATACTTGTTTATAATTTAGTTTTGTTTGAAATTTATTTTGATAAGCTGTTTTCATTCAAGAGTTGTCATTCAAACAAAATTTTTAAAGAATAAGGGTGTTTTCGCACGCCGTAAATGTGTTAGTGCAACCATGCAAATATATGCTCTTGAATGGGTGACAGACTATCATTCACAACATGTTGGCGAGAAGTTGAACAATGTGCCAATATGTTGATTGCGTGTCATTCAAAGATACAGACTATTTTTAAATGTCATTATTAAATGTTCTTTCTTAAATGACACTAAAAATAATAGTCTGCACCACGTTATAGCTTCTCTTTGTGTTTGTTACAACTTGCACCCATTATTGTCATATTAGAATCATTTGAGGCAGCATTTACCAAGCCAATAGATATCAAAAATAAGTATGTGCTTATGTCGTACTTCTATGACAAATGTAACTAACCCTACACGCTTGTCTAGATAATCTCAAAAATGCGTTGAGTATAATACTATAACAGTATGTTTACATATAATACCCAAATGTGCTTAAGGTTCGGTGATTGTAAATATAAAAATGTAATGTAGAGTAATTAAAATAATCACCAACTCTGCACCAACTTGCTCACTTTACACGTTATTTAGACCTTATATCTAACTAATTAATTTAGGTGTATTCGGATGTAATTCGATAATCGATTCAAATTAAAAATTTTTTGAATAATTCACATTAATAGCAATCAGCTGATGTTTTACAGAATATTGAAGAAGTAGTTCGACCTGATTAGTCGGTTATGTTATATTCGCAAAAGTGTAAAATTAACGTCAATTTATTCGAATTTGTTTTTTACTTGCCTTAAATAGACTTGTTCCATGAGTTTCGAATTATTGCAAGTATACATAAATATATTTCAACAGTAAGTAAAAGACATCAGTTATTTAATTTTGAATTTAATCTATTAGTTAAATGTGGAATGAAAAAGTTTCAATTTAAAATGTAAAATTAAATAAAATAATAAATAAATAAAAAATTTCATGAACTGCATGTCTTCAATTTGAACATTAAATTTTTACTTGCTGTTAAATTTAATAGGAAATAAAAATATAATTTATAGTTGCTAACTTGAACAAAGCTTTTACATGAAATTTCGTTAAAAAAACGTGAAATACTATTTTATTTGCTCTCGCTCCCAGTTTGTACTTTTTTTGTGTTTAACTCGAAGTTTACTGAGTTGTTTGCAGAACAGAACTAATAATTACTAAGTCAAGATGTATAGAAAATCAAGAAACAAAATACAAGAACAAGAATCAAAAATCTAGAAATCACAGATAAAAATCTAATAACATAAGACCCATGTCGAGAAAAAAGTTATTCATATAACTCCTTTTATCATTTGGAGTTTACCTGACATCATGCAGAGTGTCAGGACTGCCATAACATGTAAAATTTTTCCATACTTAACATTTCTATAATATGCACTTAAGCCATATGTTTTTATTTACAGTAGGGTCAATTTGATAACAATAATATAGACTTTGGTAATAGTCAGCAAGTTATTCGGTATTATTTTTATTAATAAATATGGCTTTAATACCACCTGTAACACGTCTAACTGCATCTATTATACGAATACTTGGGTGCAATCCAAGTCCTATGACTCTTCAAGGAACTAATACTTACTTAATTGGTACCGGCAGGAGGTGAGTACAAAGTTCAACAGTTATAAATTCAAATTACGCTGAGTTGAATTTCAGACGAATATTAATTGATACTGGTGACTTAGACGTTCCTGAATATATAACACATTTAAAAGGCGTACTCGATAACGAAAAAGCCACAATTGGTACAATAATTTTGACACATTGGCACCATGATCACATTGGGGGCGTAGGCAGCATCATTAAAAGTTGTGCTGAAAATGGTAAGTTTAAAGGTCGTTATATACTCGTAGTACTTAAGAATTGTTTGTATAATTGTACAATAAAATGCATGTTAGCACGTTCCTTTATTAATTTTTCCTAATGCATGTTATAAATAACACAAAATCGAACGTGGTAATAAATTATTTATGGTTTTAACAAATTTTTAAAGCAAAGGTTTATGCAGATTGTAAGGTTTACAAATTTCCTCGTACCGATGCACCAGATGTTTATTCTGAAATACCATCAAATGTTAAAGTAGAAACTCTACGGGATAATCAAGAATTCGATGCTGATGGTACAAAAGTAAAAATAGTACACACACCTGGACATACCACAGACCACGTCGTATTAACTACAGAAGATGGTATATTATTTAGTGGAGACTGTATTTTAGGTAGGATTTGATATTTTTATGCAATAACTTAAGTAATTTAAGTAACTGGTATAGGTGAGGGGACTGCTGTGTTTGAAGATTTATACCATTACATGAAGAGTTTGGATAAAATTTTGGAAATAAAACCGCAAGTTATTTATCCAGGTCACGGCAATATAGTTAATGTATGGAATTTAAGATTGTATTATTATTTTATTAATTTCTATAATTCTATAATTTTTTAACTAGGATCCAATTGATAAAATAAAATTTTATATTGCACACAGAAACCAACGTGAAGAGCAAATAATGCAATTTTTCTATAAAAATTCAAATAAACGCTGGCAAGCTATGGATGTCGTAAAAGATGTTTATAAAGAAACCCCTGCAGAATTATGGCCAGCTGCTGCCTATAATGTTGGACATCACTTAGAGAAGTTGCTTAAAGAAGGCAAACTTAAAGTATTTGAAGAAAATGAAGAGAGATTTTATGAGTATCAGCGGAATAGTACATTATAATAATTCAATTCTTTACAATTTTCTTTTCGGGAGTGGTAAATTTATGTAAAATTTATATAAAAAAGGAGTGCTTTGTAGCAATATGTATGAAACTTTTACAATATATACTCAATGAAGATATTTATATTATATTCCATTAAAATAAAGCTCACTTAAAATATAAACTTACTGCTTTATTAAGAAATTTATTTAAGTTATTTATTCTGGCTTAAATGTTATGGATTCATTTCTAAAATCATGAACTTCTTCATGCCAAATATCACCTTCGTTGGTTTCATCGCTTCCAGCTTCTCTTAGTGCAGTTGGAAATGGTGGTGCGGTATTTGGTTTTCTTAACGGTAATATTGTATCATATATGTACACCAAACTATTTACGTCGCCAGGTATTCCAAAGCCTTGTACCCACATTACATTGTATTTGGTATTTATACGCCATATGCGCAGACCTTTTGCTTTACGCCACCGATTACCCATGTGTCCAGGTAATTTAGTGCCTGGCCACACGCGACCTTTTTCACCTCCACCGCCAATATTACCAGGACGACGATGAGTTTTTGTAACACCATGAGATGCAGGCATACCTTTAAAACCATGCCTTTTCACCACACCTTGAAAATTCCGATAAATTCTAAAAATAATTTATTATTAAAGTAAATTCTTAGTTATATTTAGTTACATTTACGTTTTTCCGCGAACATCAACTACATCTCCGACACGAAAATGATCTACATTTAAGGGTGTACCAGGCGGTATAGCTGCTTTTGGTGATACAATAAACCTTGCAAGATTTTTTGTTGGCATAACACCAGACGCTTTAAATAAACCACAGTACTCTTTAGTTAGAGTAGATGGATCGGTACTTTCAGCTCCAACAAGCAAACACCCATATTTGTTTATTTGCTTAACATTTGGTTTATGTGCTGGTGTATATTCTTCTGGTGGTATATATTTGATAACATGATTATCAACAACTTGAAGCAGTGTCGTTCTTATTTTTTCACCATTTTTAAGCCACATTGGATATTGACCTATTTTACGCGCTATAACCCCACAACGTCTAACCTTTGGATCCCACTCTTGTTTTTCAAATTCTATAACTTTAAGAAGTTTATTTTCATTTTGATTATAAGATGATACGCCTTTTATAAGTGCTGGTGGTCCATAAGTGTCGTGCACTACTTCTTTTATAAATGATTTATTTTCTGCTGTCACATAATCTTCATGTATCTGAAATAAAAGCTTAATATATAGCGACTATGAAACTGAATTTGACTTACAGTTCTTGTTTTTTTTGCAAACCAATAAGGATTTCGCAGACGGGGCCGATTTAGATGACCCTTCTCGCGAACTTGTGTAACCACAACCGGATTAATACTGCACAAACCATTTTTTATAGGTTAAAAAAATATAATACAATATATTAGTGAATGAAAAAATTTTGATTTTATATGCAGATTTACCGTAAACGACTAAAACTATATAACACTGAGTTTAGCATAATTAAATTTACTTTATATTTATCATATATATATTTCACTAAAATATTAGATATTTTATTATGTAGACAACCACACTAAATTGAAATTCAGCTGTTTAACTTCTCGTGAAGGGTGTTCAATAAAATTCAAAATCACAATTTTTAATATTCAATTTAATTATTTAAAATTGCTAAAGTATGTTTCATATATTTTATTATGAAGTTCAGTAATTATTTAAAATAACTTTTTCAGTTATAGTACAAATTAATGTACATATATTGTTAACGACAGATAATTTTTCTATATTTTTTTTTATTTATATTTTCACTGAACATACTAAAGCAACTGTTAATGACAGCACTCGTCAATTGTCCTGCAAATATTTTACTTGTATATTCTAACCCAATGCAGAAAATTATATTTTGTAATATATTTTTGAAAGTGAATTATTTATAGTAATTATTTACATTCAGTAAATATATTATATCTCGTTAAATATAAGCTATGAGTAATTATTCAACGTTAATGTAAGTTAAGATGTATGTTTATAAACTTTTATGAAGTGTAAAATTTAAGAAATATGTTGTAATTGATAGGTATGCGACAAATCAAAAACAAAAACTTAACGAAGATGATCAACTAGAAAGCACCCAAAGTGGTTCCGATCTAACAAGGCAAATGACGGAAGGTAACATACCTCAGCGGCCCAGACAGTAAGTATTCAAATATGTAACAACGGTAACTTTTTTATATAAAATTAATTTTTATAGTATTGTTTTGTTAATAGTATATAACAGAGTCCAATATTTTTCATGATATTTTGAAAAAAATTTTGTTTGTATAATATCTGCGATATTGGAAGACTGTTATACGCGATTATTATATCTTATTATAATAGGCTAGTCTGCTTATATTGAGCAAATTTATTGCTTACAAGTTATGCAGTTTAACGATAAAAGCATCTGTCATCTACTTTGCTTCCGCCCAGCTTGTGCACATCGACGGTGGAACATTTTAAGGACCCCCTTACTTAAAGATCTTGATCAACTACAAGACCGCCCACTAAACAGCATTGCAAGCTTCGCCAAAGGTGGTTTTAAACCCTGTGTTACTTCATTGTACATAATGGGCCAATAGATTTAAGTGGACCCTAGGAACCGCCGGTATAACCTAACCTTACCTATGCAGTCTTACCACCGCCTTAAAACCATTCGTGAATTACTTGAAGAAAAGTTTTTCTTTTCATTGCAAAAAAATCAAATTATGTGCTTAACAACGCTTCTAAATACTTCAACTAGTTACAAAAAAAACTAACGAGTAATTTTTTTTGATACTATCAAATATTTTTAATCCACTATTTTATGTTAAACAAGAATGAGATAATGTGATGTAATAAAGTGGTCGGAGCAGTATTAACAACCCTGCAAGCTTCTGTTTGTCCTCTAATTTCCTTAGCAGTTAAGATGTTAATAATTAGGAACGTATTGGGGTCGTTGACTATGTTTTGAAGAACTTTATTTTCAAGCAGTTATGTTAATATTGTTATAGAAGGTACAGTGTCAAATTTTTGCCCTACAAAACCACATTGACTTTAGAATTTGATGGTGGATGGATGTTATGAATATTGTTATATGCGTAGACTATTGATCTTCGTTTGATGAAACATTATTGAAGCTATTTTCATTGATCAAGTGGAACGGGTTCAAACGTTGTAGCTGTTCAGTAGTCCTTTCAAAGCATTTATTATTGTTATTACATATTATATACATATATTTCATACATTTTATATTGCATATTATTATATGTTATAAATACAGATTAAAATATAATATAAATAACTTGTTGAACTTGCTTGAAATGTATTCTTTATTTATATTTATTTTTCTATATTTTTTCTAAGTCCATTTAAGTAAAATTTCGTTTCTATTGTATTTCAGGCTCATGTTAGATGACGATCGATATCAAGTATATTTAAATAGTTTACAAAATGATAACACAACTGGCTTAAGAAATGTTAACTCAGATCGGGATTTATCTTTGCCATTAGAAAGAAGTAGAGGGCTCGACAATTTCTATGACAGTCAAGAAGATGGTACGTTATATTGATAATATAATATGCTATCATATCATTAACCTTCAATAATTTCAAATACCCTAAACCTATTTATATTTATATAAATATATTAGTTTTATGTTTAATTTTATTTTTCTACATTAACCTTTATTTTTTTGTACGCCTATTTGTTTTTTTATTGATTTATTTGAAGAAAATTATCCTGAATCCTTTGGTCAAGCAAGGAGTATACGTAGAAATAGTATACCAAACAGTAAAAGTATGTCATTTTTAATGTACTTTGCTAACTAACTAATTACTACCTAACTCATTTATCATTATTATTATTTTTTAGTTACTCTATATTATCCAATTCTTTATTATTAACATATAAATAATTTTTTAGTAACTCTTTCTTTTATGTAATTTATTTTGTTTTAGCTATTTTAGTTCATAAAATAACATATACGTATTGGAATAATGCTATATTTTATTTACAGAAATATCTATACGTAAATATCTTGGATATACTGTACAATGGGTTAGCTTAGTTACTGAAAATTTATTGAGTCATCCGTTCATTGTCCTGCGAAGGCAATGTCAGGTTTATAATGCATCGCAAAAGTATTTTTTTAATAAAAATTATTTTCAAAATCATATTGATAAAAAAAACATATTTACATTAAGGTATCATTTACATCCATTGGGCTTATTTCCAACAATTATTCATTTACACAGACGGCAAGGTGTTACAACGCTATGGAAAGGACTTGGCAGTTGCCTTTTAGTACGTGGTATGTCACTAGCCATTGAAGATGTCCTATGTAAAATAACATCTTGGCCAAAGTAAGTTGATATATTGTTTATCAGTAATTCTTGAAATAGTAATTAATAAAATTTTTTTTCAGGGAAGTAGATAATCGTACTGGCACAAAGCGCTTTGGTCAACATTTAATATTAAAATGGTAAGAGTTATTTGGATTTGATTAAGTCATATTTGGGTTCACCAATTGTAATAATGTCGAACTCACTATTTAAATTTATATTAATTAAACTTTTATACATAAGTAGGTGACATTTATCTTATTAAGGTGTATATAATCAATTAAAAGTATATTTGGCAACTGTAAAGTATATAAATGCTTATTTTATGAAATGTCGACTGATTTCTGAGTCTATATATTTTTCCTGTGAGATTAATTATTCATTGCTGTTAAAATCCACCTTTTAGATACGAATGTTAAGAACACTAATATCTACATACTCTGTGAAATGCAGAACAAAATATTACCATTTCTTATCTGTTCGTTTCCTGTGATTTCCAGGTAACGATCTTATACCTTAGGCCTAGTCTTAATTTTCTAAAAAAAAAATTTTACGTCAAAGTTTAACGAGGTAAACTACTAACAAATTTTAATTCATGTAGACGAAGTCACAGATTATTATTCCGTCGAAATATATCAACATATTTATTAAGATTTTAACAAACCTTAAGAATTTTCACGTAACGACTCGATGTAGTTCAATGACGCTTTTTAAAAAAATCTTAAATATATAGCTTGATAAATTCATGTGGCAGCGTAAATGTGAAAATCTATCGTCATCTTCATAAATGTAATATTGATTGAAAAATGATTAACTTACATATTTATAACACAATGACTTGTTTGTGAAGCCATAATTAGACCATGGTATGGTTTATGAGATACCAAGATAACTGTATATTATTATACATTTGATAAAATCATTTAAATAATTTAATTTTTTTACACTAGTTATTTGTAAATTCACTTTGTCGTACAATTGCAATTTATTCATTGTTGTCATATATATTTGGTTATAAACAGTTGATAATTATCCAAGCTACGCTAAACCAAGATTTATTGTTTTACTTCTATTTAGTGTGAGTATCGCCATCGTCGTACCATATTATTCAGCTTCTCTAGTCGAAACTGTACAAAGTGATATTGCCAGTGAAAAACCTGGACTGTTAGATGTATTTCGCGAAGGTACTCTTCGATTGCTTTATTGGAGTTCACCACAAAAAGGTAGAATGCTGCCAGCATGGGCCTTAATTGGGCCTAGCGTTTCATTGGGCATAACGAAATATCTATTTAGGTAATTCTTGAATATAGTACCCAAAAACAACATATTAAATTAATTTTTTTCTTTTAGTCTGGTCATCAAAGGTCTTTCATCGCGTATAATACGTCGACGTATAAAAAATTCGCAGGAGAGTAAAGGCGCAAAGTATAAAGATGATTCACTGGAAAATCAAAATGTTGAGATATATTCGAATTTGATATCAATGCTTACTTCCGAAATGATTTTTTATCCCTTTGAAACGATATTACATCGTATACAATTACAAGGTACACGTACTATAATAGATAATTTAGACAATGGTGTTGCGGTTGTACCCATATTGACCAACTATCAGGGTGTAATTGATTGTTATCGCACCACTGTTGCCAGTGAAGGTGTTGCGGGACTTTATAAAGGCTTTGGTGCCATCATTTTGCAATTTGCAGCACATATTGCAGTTATAAAACTAACTAAATGGGTGGTGAATCAAATAACAGAAATTGTATCTAATCGTCCACCTCAAAGAGTAATACAATATTATAACTTAGATAGAGGCTTAAATTCAAATTCATCAACTATATCGCCAACTACTATCAGTTCAAATAGTAATTTGGATGAAATTGCAGCGGATGAAGATCATTATGTTGAATAAATTGATTTGTTCTTAAAAGTTAAAGCTTGTTTGTTTTTAAATTATAAATTGATTATAATCGAAATTAAGTTACATTTAAAAATAATTATATATTTTTTAGGAGAATAAAAAAAATTGTTGATATGTTTGCATATTATTTTCAATAGTATTGTGATAAGTTGTCTACAATAATAAAAAGAGTGCAGTAACAGTCATGTTTAACAAAATATATTTTTTATGTTATATTACATTAGGTATCTCCATTATTTGTACTGTATATATAGGCTTATACACAGTACAAATAATGTAAAGTAAACAGACACTAAAATATTTATTAATTATATAAATCCAATTAAATTACTAATTTTTACTTTCTCTTTCTCTTATCCCTCTTTGTTTTAGCGTCTACTGCCCGTTTGTCCTTTTTCTGTCTTGGATCGACAACACGATACCTTCCTTTCACACCTGCTGGACGTCTTGCTCTTTTTCCAGTTTGATGTTTCTTAGCAACAACATATGTTACTTCTTTTTTCTTTTCTTGTGTATTTTTATATATTTTTTTTAATTGTTTAGCTTTTTCTTGTGCTGTCGCATCAACGTTTTCCATTATCTTCTCTGCTTGTTTTTTAGCTTTCGCTAGTCGTTTAACTGCACGACGCCGTTTACGAGCTTTGGCTTCCATTACTTTTTTGATTGGACGTACGTTAAGTTCCTGTACTTTACGTTGATATTCTTCTGTTAGCTCCTTCGGTACTGGAACAGGTTTTTTCATATGCACATCTTCATCTTGAACAAACCAAGCTGGTAGATTCTCATCATTAAATGCATAACGATTCCAAGCACCATCAATTAGATCCCTTCTTGTTTTTTTACCTTTTATCATCATTGCACCCAGTGCAAGCTCCTCTTCTGATAGTCGAATTTTTTTCTGTTTAGGTTCTGGAAAAAGGAACAAAAAATTATAAGTATAAATAAAAAATTATAGACATAAATAAAAAAATTATATAAATTTTTCTTTTTATATACCTTTGCCCATATCATTATTTACTTTATCAATATCTTCTAAATCTTCTTCACTGTCCTCACTGGATGAAGATTCCGATGATGACTTTTTATCAACTTCATGTCTAGCACGACGTTTAGCTTTTTTACCAAGCAAAATATTTTTGTCATCATTGTTTTGATTATCTCCAAGAATTGTAACACCCTTGCTTTTATATTCATTAGCGAGGCGATCTATATCGTAATCTTCATCGTCGTCCGATTGAATTTGTTGAAGGTTATCCTTTTCAAACCACAATTGTACACGGTGTTGTCGCTTTGAATCTTTATCTCGAAAGTCACCTGATTTTATTAAAGGATGTTCTACTTTTTTCTTCTTCTTTATATTTGTTTTATTAACATTGTTTTCCTCATTATCACTTAATCCCAATCCCTCTTCATTATAGTCACTTTCGGAATCATCATCTTCAGAAACGTCTGGCTCGTCATCATTTTCATAATTAGCATCATCATCAAGTCTTTTATCATCTTTATTATACCTACATTAAATAAAATGTATGTACATAATATTAAAAATTATATAAAAACAATAAATAATTAATTGTTAAAGCGATTTGTTTATCAATAAGTTTTTTAATTTTTACCGGGTTTTAGGTCGTTTATTTGACACTTAAAAATGATAATAAAACATTTATTAATTTGTGTTAAGCTTTTTAATATAATTTAAAAAAAAAATTGTAATACAATTATTTCGGTCTACTTCTAGACCATCTTCTGTTTTTATGACGATTTAACGACCTGAAATCCGGTAAAAATTAAAAAACTTATTATTTTAAAATAAATTTAAAAATAATTACATTTTATATTTTGGCAATTTTTCAGGTTTCTCATCATCCATTTCAACATCGAAATCAGGTGCCACATCTAACATTTCATCAAGGTCCTCTTGCGTTCTTACATTATTTAAAGTAAATATCTCTTGATCACCTTCCTCGTGTGGGCCTTCGTCTCCTTTTATAACCATGTTTAAATTCATTTTTTCATGTAACTTAGCTTTTTCTTTTTGAGTTTTCTTGCGCTTTCGTTTTACTTCCTTTTGTTCCTCAACTTGTAGATCATTAATTTGTTGCTGTAACTCTTCATCCTCCATATCTTCAATTTCTTCTTTAGTTAAAGGATTTTTAGTTGATTCGTCTTCCTCTTCAATTACTTTTGTATCTTTATCTTCCTCCGTGAAAAGTTCTTCCTTTATAGCTTTCCACCAGGCAAGTAAGCCTTTAACGTCTTTGCGTCCAAGCACTTTAATATCCTTACAACATTCAAGTATTTCTTGTGTAGTTTTTGGATGATTTGCAATACGTTCATCATCTATACGTATTGAGCCAATACCTTGTAATGCAGCTAAGCCACTGTCAGCAATCATAAATTCGGTGGCCGCCAAGTCATTTCGTAAAGCAATATCTTGCTCCGTATAACCTTCTGCTTTTATTTTTTTTTGTTTTTCTGGATGTAGTAAACTACCCTTTTTTTTACCCTCCAAATCTAATTCTTCAAAAACATATTTAGCATCAAGTATACGTGGGTCAATACGAACTGGTGCCAAATAACCTTGACATACAACAAAGATTTCAGCAGATTCTTTACGTGATGCACTTGGTTTAGTAGCATGTACTTTACGAAATAATTGTTTTAGTACCCACAATAATGCGTTATAATCTTTAGAGCGAAAAACCTTAGTTACAAACCAACCGCCGCTCCGCAAGAATTGTGTACCCAATTTTAGTGCATTTAATGTAAGACAAATTTGTTGGTACGCATCGAATAACCAGTTTCGACCAACATTGGGTGCACCATCATGTAAAACAACATCAGCTTTCCAAGATTGTAGTTCTTTTGTAAGCGATTGCCGACATTTATCTGTTGTTATGTCTTCTACAAGGCCAATACAACCTGCTATTGGACGTATAGGATACAAATCTACACCAACAACGATACTCGACACTGGCATATTCTGTTTTGCTACTTGCATCCAGCCACCTGGAGCAGCACATAAATCTATACATACTTGTGATTGTTGAAGAAAACCAAATTTCCTATTTAGTTGAATTAACTTAAAAGCAGCACGAGATCGAAAACCTATAATTTTGGTAGCACTTTAGAATTACATATATTATTAATAAATCATTAATAAATCAACTTACCTGTTTCTTTTGCTAACTGATAAAACTTATCCTTTCTAGTTTTTCCAACTTTGGTTTTTTTACCCATTTTATTATTAATTAATATATATAATGAAAATTCAACAGTATTATATCGAACATGTATTTATTGTTTAACCGATACTTTACACGTGCTTAAAAAATTTTTATTGAAGCACAATTTGCAACAAACAGAGTTTCAGTGCAATATTTTCGTAGCAGGGAAAAATGGAGTAAATAAATTATAATACAATTTTATAGTTTACTTCATATATATTAGTTAATATTTTTTTGTTTTATACATAAGCTATTTTTTTATATAAATACATATTTAAATTATGCACCTTAAACAATGCAAATAATATATACACTTACAAGGTCTGTTCCACGAGCTACTCGTAGTAACTTTGAGTAACACCTTGTATACACAAGTGCGTTTCACCAACAAATTTTCGAGTAAATGAGAGCATCTAAGAGAGCGTAACATACCTGTCGAAATTTGAAAATGCTATACAGACTTTACTCGTACATTTTCTTTCAAATAAAATTCGTGTTGATGTGTGAATCAGCTGTTTTAATTTGAAACTAATTTTTGTATTGTTTATTTGGGCGACACTGGTGTTCACACCAGATTTTACACAAAGCTGTTCCATGAAAATATGTGTAAAGAGTGTAATTTGGTACTTTATTTGTATTATGCTCACAATTTGTACTGTACCTGTGTTTTACTTAAGTTTTACTACAAGTAGCTCGTAGAACAGAACTTTTATTTTAAATAAAATTTGTGTTGATGTGTAAATCAGCTATTTTGGTTTCAAAATTAATTTTTGTATTGTTTATTTGCGCAGCATTGGTGTTCTCACCAGATTTTACACAAAGTTGTTCCCTGAAAATATATGTAAAGAGCGTAATTTGGTACTTTATTTGTATTATGCTCTCATTTTATAGTGTACCCGTGTTTTACTTGAGTTTTACTACAAGTAGCTCGTGGAACAGACCTATATTATACAACAGAAACAAATACTACTAATTTAATTCAACTCATCATTATAGTCAAGTAGCAATCCCTATTCCTCGCGTGTGATTCGTTCCGGCCTGTGTTTACATTTTGTTTGTTTTTTTTTAACTTTTTACCATATAAAATTAAACAAATATAAATGAATTCTTTAAATAATCGTGTCTCTACTATTAAAGCAAGTGAGAATGTCAAAAAAAATTCAGAAATGCGGGCCGAACTTATTAAATTACCTGAGAGCTATGAATTATGTACGGTATTTACTGTCAACAACAATATTTTTATTAAGATCTCAAATAAAAATGTGCATTTCTAGGCGAGGAAACATATTGCTTGCGAATAAGAGGTGCAAAATCTGTACAAGAGCAAGTTTCTACTATAAAAGATGTAGGCAAAAGTGTACGTATTTTATTTAAATAAATTTAAAAAAAAAATAATTATTTTATTTTAGGTTTCTAAATCTCTTGAAAATGATGATCAATTGTTCCAGTTTCTTGCTGATATGTATTTTCACTGTCCTTTAAAACATCCTGTACGAAATCAAATAGTGAAGTCAGTTGTATGCTTTAGTAATTTAAAATTAAGCAATATTTCTTTAATTTTTTATTGTTATTATTTTTTTAATAAATATTCTTTTAACCCTAAGGTTACTTATCACAACGGCTCGTGTTGGTACCAATATTGATGAAACAACAATTATTAAATATTTGACTCATTCCTTACAATCTGTTATTTCGAATGCAAAGGCGAAGATAGATAGCTGTGATTGGAATAAAGCAATTCTGTCTTTGAGTGGTTGCTTTGAAAATTTTAATTGCGGTTTAAAGTCAGTTGGTGAAACTATTTCTACTTTTTTTCCGTTTTTGTGTTTATCCTTACAAAAATATATAACAGAATTGGGGTATGTATATAAATATGACAATTACTACTAGTTATTTTTAATCATGTATTGATTAGTGTCCTGCAATCACCATCCAGAAGAAATGAATATTATCTCTATATACATAATGTGTTGAGAATAGTATTATCTTGCATTCAGGAGTTTCCTACAATGATTAAAGAAAATAAAGAACCATTGGATAAATTAAAAATAATTTGTAAAGAGATATTATTGAATGATGAAATCCCAATGGATCCTCGAACGAATTCAGGCATTATTTTGGCATACAATGCAAAAATATTTGATGAATTTGAATCATTCATACAAGAAGCTAAAAATGCAAAAAATCCAAATGAAATTGCAATGTGTGTTGGAGTCATAAATATTATAAATCAGAAAGATTTTGATACATTTTCAGCAGATATACGTGATGTTTGCGCTAAAATCGATGAATTTGCTAATTCAAATTCAACTGTGCCAGTTATTTTGTTATCAGCAACAAGAGCTTTATATCAGATGTCAAAAATAATACTGACTCTTGATTTGAGTATACAAAAAACCATCGATAGTACAAAATCGATTTTAAGAAAATTATTAACTTTCGTTTTTGGTTATTTGGAACATCATATGGATAGCGTTAGGCATATGTGTAAAGATCTATTGAGAAATATATTAGCTCTTGCAAAAAACCTGAATTTTGAATATTTATTGGAAAAAATATACAATGCGTGCAAATCGGAACGTTTATCTATATCTATGAAATGTGTAATACTTCTTCATACGGCTTCTAATTTGGGTGCAGTTGATGTTTTACGGAATTGTCCAGATTTATTTTCAAAACTATTCTCTGAGTATATGGGACGAGATTTTATGGTTAATAATTTATTTGAGGGTAAGTAGTTATAATCCAAATAGAATATCATAATATAATATCTATAATATCTTTTAAATAGATTATGTAATATAGTAGGTGTTTATATATTAAAATGATCAATACTTTTTATCATTAATTGTTAAATATAATTCGTTCTTATAACTCTGTTATAAGTTTGCATATATTTTCTGATATTCCAAGTTTATATCAGTTTTGTCATAAATTATATTCAAAACAGAATTTGATAATTAAATTTTGAGTATAGAAAGTTTTTATGCATTTATTTCCTTCCTTGGCTTCCTTTAAAAAATAAAATATTTCAAATATCTTATTGTTAAAATTAGTAAGTTCACTGTAAATAACCAAAGAATTGATTAAAATTGGTTAATTGATTTGTATGGACCTGCATTAAGATATATTAAGAACTCTATTCCGGCTCACTTGTCTCGACAATTTTAGCAAGAATGTGATCTGGATTAATTTTGTACAAAGTTTCTTTTAAATGATAAAATAAAAAGCAATTGAGAAAATGATTTAAAAGACAATTATAAGTGAGTAGAATCTAATTAAGATAAAGTATTTTTTGTTAATTTTGTCTCCTGTTAATTTTATTATATGTTATTTTCGTAAATCGCAGGTAAGTAGATGTATTGGTATCAGGACCAAATCCTTTTCAATTCGCTAAGAAAGCGGTTCGATTCCACATCCCTTGTAACTGTGGGTAGAACTGTCGTAATTGTTGGCTTATTAGTACCAGCCAGACGCATTGTGGCAAGTACCTGGTCATAATGTTGGAAATATCATTGAGTGTACTAAACAGTCGGGCGAGCAAAAGCTTAACCTTGTTTCTGAACAAATACACTACAGGTGCTAGATATGTACTACAGAAGATTTGACAGAGCAGGTCGAGCCTGCTTTCATGCAGTCTATAGTTCTCAATGTCCTGTTTTAATAGATTTTATCTTAGATACTTCCGATATACTTCTATGTATTAAGTCGAACGTTCTATATTTGGAGTATAAAGGCCACGTAGCTCTTGACCTATCTGCTTAAGAAATATGAACCCAATTCCTATAATATATATGTAAATTTATGTGCACAAATTGGCGTCGAGAGTAAAGTGATCAATATATTATCCTTTACTGGCAATTGGCAAATTCACAGTGTTAAGTTTGGCAAGTCTGTGTATTATTCCGGTATACTTTATATAGACAAAAACTACATAGGTTTAGTCAGACGCAATAGATAGATCACCCTTTTTTTAATGCGTATATCAGTGTTTTTCAGTTCTTATATAAATAAGTTATTGAATTCATTATTTATTATTGTTAAGCTGAATTTCATCAGGAGCATAGACTATTTACATAGAATCATCAGGAATTTCTATTCAATGCTAAATATCATAATTCATTAAATGCTTTGTTAGTTTTATGCTGGATGGTTTTTTCGAAGTGCTCTGAGGACTGCCGGGTCTTCAATTGCCTTGCGGGTTCCATTGTATGGCAGCATGACAGACCTCTTCGTAGGGTTTTGTAAATGTGTGCCCGAGCCAGTTGTATCTTGAATTCATTAGTCTACATGTGTTAGTACGTCTTATTATATCGATAGAAATATTTATATAGTATATAGTATCTTTGAATAACTTAAGTTACATACTTTTTCCTTTATTTTCGAGAACTTTTAAAAACTCGATTTAGCATATAGATAATTTTTTATTATATATGGTATATTTGTCAATATATATATACCGTAAATATTTTAATACACAAATCATAATAAAATTATATATATATTATTATATATATATATATATATATGTATATATATATATATATAATTTTATTATGATTTGTGTCTAAAAAACTTTACGGTTGATGAGTAGTTTGAGATATTCTTATTCTCTCTATAATCCTTTAATACCTTTGCAATGACAAATCTGATTATACGAATCGTCTTATTCAGTTATACCATTATCGTCTTGTTTTATATTACATTTTGTTTGTAGATGCACTAATATCTTAATTTTTGTTTGTGATTTGTAAGTTTTATTATATTATAAATAAAATAACAATTTTCATTTTTCAACCTTTTTAGGAATGTTTACTGTAAGTCACAAGGAATTAGAATATAACGACTGGTTTGATTTATGGATCAAATACTTACTTAAATTTGCTGCAGACAACGATGATTATATGCCAGAATTGGAAAATCTGCTTGTTAAAGCTGTTAAAGTGGAGCCAAAGATAGTGCGAGATGTTGTTGAAAATACAGAATTTGAAACTCCAACAAGTATAAAATTATCTGCTCTATGGGCTGTAAGAAAATTAGGCATAAAAATGATCGATTTCAATGAACTTATGATAAAATGTTCTTGCGATTTATTATATAGTATCGTTTCAAATTCAGACGAATCCCGTATAATAGCTTTACGGGTCTTGGTAGAAACTCATAAAACTACAGAAGTATTAACGGAAGTTGAATGTGGACATTTATTGACATATTTAGAATACAACTTAAATACACAAAGTCCGGCTACAAGACAGAAAACACTTTCATTACTTAAAAAAGTCTTAGTTCGTCTAGAAATAAATTTAGTTAAAGCTTTAAAGGAATGTAAAACTAAAGAAAAGTTAGAAAAAAATATGCATTATGGATTTTTTGTTGACGTGATGCGGATTTTAGTTCAAAATCTATTTTATGGTTCAAATTTTAGTAGAAGATCAGTGGCACTTCAACTGTTCGAGCAATGTCTACACATATGCATAAATCTTAATATTTCTTCAGAAAATGTATTTGTGCCTAGTACTGTTCCAATTCTTGCGGAAATGTTATCTGACTGTTACGAAGAAAATAAACACATTGCTGTTAATATCCTGCAAACACTTGAAAATATTCTAGGTTATAGTCTTGTGGAAAAATATAAATTAAATATTAATCGAAATCAAATAAAAGAGCTACTGACTTCGGTACGTCCAACGTATTCCATTACTGGTGCATATCAATTACAATTTTATTGCAATATGGTCAATCCGAGCATTTTCGGCACTTACGAGTTAACAAACTATCAACCTACATTCTATGCTTCGTTATGCTGGTTATTAATTGAGTTAAAGGATGGATTGGATTTAGCTAAGCAAAGCATATTACAAGCTGCAAAGTTAAATCCACTCTATGGTATTTTATTTGCCATTAAACATTTGCTTAAACAGTTGGATTTTCAAATTTTGTCTCAAGAAATTCATTGGCGCATTATGATAGCTGAATTAATAATATTATGCAAAATGCTAACCGCGGTTGTTGCGCCAATCGTAAATAGTTCTTCGCCTGAAGGACATCTACCAAATGATTTTAGTGAATTTCCAGCAGAATTCACTAAAGATGAAACTGAAATCAACACAGGTGAAACAGAAACTGTGTGCAAAGTGTTATCATCGAAAAATGCTAAATTGAATCTATCAACTGTTAAAACTACTCCACAAATGGTGCTTCTCTGCAGTTGGCGTACAATAAAAGAAGTGTCTCTGTTACTTGGTGAAATCGTATTACGATCACCCATCTACTGTAGTCAAATAAATGAAAACTTTCTGATTACAAAAGAGCAAATTATAGAAATAGGCGAACATTTCAAATTGTTGCTCTTTGAAACAAAGCATCGTGGTGCATTCGAACAAGCCTACGTTGGTTTTTCAAAGCTTTGTTGTCGCTTATGGCGTGTCGAAATAGCTGAATTAAATATGCTACCGATGGTTTGGTTACGTGATTTAATAAATTTAATATCTAAAGATGAACAGATTAATGAGAAAATATGTGCTACACGACGAAGTGCTGGTGTCCCGTTCATGGTTCAGGCGCTAATCACATCCGAACTGCAAATGGGCTCTACAAAATCATTACACTATTGCATGTCTCAGCTACTGCAGCTATGTACACCATCGGAACATATAAGTGGTGAGTCGCGTACACATGCCATGAATATACTACGAGCCTTATTCCGTTGCTCTGATTTAAATGAAGCGGTGGGTGAATTTATAAGTGAAGGTGTTAAGAGTGCTTTACGTGGTTATGATGCAGAAACGTGGTCTGAAAAGAATTCAGCAACTTTATTATTTGCTGCACTTATAAATCGTATATTTGGTGTGCAAAGAACAAAGGATTCAGAGAACTTAAATATACGTAACAAGCTAACAGGTCGCATTTTCTTTCTACGTTACCCCAAACTATATGATTTCTTCTTAGAGGAATTACAATGTGCTAGTTCATTAGTTTCTATGCAAAAGAAAGCTAATAAGTTGCATCCTTTACTTTTACTTTTAAGTCGTTTGTATCCATCAGCTTTAGAAGGCACAGAATCTAATATAAAGGTGAGCAGCTTTTTAGATATTACATTTACAGAATAAGAAACCAATTTATTTTATAGCTCTCAGAATTTATACAATACATTGTGACATGCTCTGGTTGTCCAGAATTTCAAACACGATTTTTGTCTGCTAAAGCGATTACTGCATTAATATCAAAGGATGCTGTACCCACAATGATTTTAGAGAAGTGTGCAGATATAATAGTGAGCATTTTTTCATTGCAAATAAAAAAAATGAATTTAATACAAAATTACATATAACTTACAGATGTGGGTTGATAATTATAAAGATGCAAATCTGAATGTGCTGCATGGAAATTTAATATTGGTAAGTTAAAGTATGTAAACTGTAGTAAAATGAACGTTAAATACAAAATAAGAAAAGGTAACAAAAGCGCTAAACTCACTGAGAATTAATCTTCGTGGATTATATTTTGCTTGGGGTAAAATTAGTTGTATTTTATAGGATAAAAATGTATGTATCCAAACCGAGCTTGATTGTGTGATGTGTATAAATATATGTTTATATATGGATATGTGTAAAAAAGAACCCAATTGAAACATATTGACTGTCATAAAAGTGATAAAGATATACCTAAAAACGGATCTATCGAGACGTATCGAATAAGAATAATTCTTGATTTTTATATTTATAATGCAAAAATAACAGTTATTTGTGTAAGAGTTATTTCTTCGCGAAAAAATAAAAAGCACATGAAAATAATTATTTTTGTTAAATATAATATAACATAGTTATCTTTATATAATCTATATAATCTTTTTAATTTAATATAAATAAAATCATAATCTTTAACTATTATTTCGACAGGTACATATGCTTCTTAAAACATATAAGAGCTTTGTATTGGAGTTAGCCTGTGATATTAGTTATACATTAGTGATATTCCAACAAAAAACAGAGATGAAAAATTCAATAATATTGAAAGCTATATTTGACATCTTAATTGTACTTTTAAGCAGGTGCGTTGTAATAAAATTATTTAATTTATATATGTATCTATAATTCAATTTTATCTTCGATATAATTTCAGTACGACAAAATTGAAATTCTCCGAAAATGTTATGCAAAATTTAACCTACTTCAGCACCCAAAATCAAATGATTAATCCCGAGTTTAGTAAATATTTTCCTGTTTTGCGTAAAGCATTATATGTTTATAATTTGCATATAACACGATTAACACTATCTCCAAATGCTATATCAGATTCCCTACTAAACTTAAACATAAATGAAAAAAATATTGAGCAAACTGAAACATGCTTAAATATAATTTTATTGCTTTTATTAAAAAAGCATTCAAATGCATATGTTATGTCCGAGTTCGAATTTACTGCCCATGAATTGCAATTTGTAAGAATATTAACTGCCGATGCACGTGATATTATAATAACTGAAATAAAACAAAGTAAAAAGTTAGATTCAATCTTGAAAGAGCTTGTGCTTTTACCAATTTACTATCCAGAGTGCACTACAAAAGCATATGCTATCTTAAGTTTCCTAGATCATTTTAATTATACTCTTGAAAATCTTATAACCGAATCAAATAAATATCCTAGTGATGTTAAAACATCATTGGCAATGTGTATTGAACGATTTGTAGTCTCGCAAGGTGTAGACGAAAAAGTTTCTCAAGCAGTACTGGAATATTTAACGGAGATATCACAACCATGGCAACCAGACTTCTTAAGGTATGTAATTGATCCGGGTGATAAATGTATCTACTAATTGACATTCTATTACTTTCAGATTTAAGGCATCACATATTTTGTACGAAATACATGAACATTTTTGGAAAGCTTTGAAAAATAAAAATATACGCTTTGTGCGTTCATATATTAACTTATTGCTTTCACTTATTATGGATGATGACTCTGATATACGTGATAATGCATCAAATATTGTTTTAAAAAATTTAGATGTTGATATGGGTGTGTATATTATAGTAAATATAAAAATCAATTCACTTATTATTAATTTTTATAGAAAATGTTGTTTCTACAATGGCACAACGACTCTTTCTTCAAGCAATCGCAGATGTTTTACTTTCAACTAAGGCTAGTGACGAATATATAATAGATATATTCAATATAATAACGGATATATATTCTCCTAATCAATCTAATAATAATGATATCAAAAATTCAGAAATAGTTACTGATTTAGAAGTTTTTGATAAAAATGAAGTAAATGTCTTTGCTGAACCTATAAAAGTTATTTATGACATCATCGTAGTTTTTAAAAACTCATTTAATGAACGTCCAAAAGTTTTGGATATAGTCTGCAAGAATGCATATAGCAGTTATAGTCAGAAAAAATAATGATATTTTGTTAATATAGTTAAATTAAAAGAAATATACTTATTAAACTAAGTAGTTTAGTAATATAGTAAACTGTTTTTGATCGTTTAACATTATTTTATAGTATAGTTAATACTAAATTATTTTAATTTAAGACGATCTAGAATTTATGAAAATGACTTTATAGACTTTGAAACTGTTTTTTTTTTTAAGAAGTTATTATAATGATAAAGCGACATATCGACGTTTATTGATGTCCGAGACATGATAGACCTTTTGCAGTAACACAAATAATGTATGTAAAGTATTAAACAACTATATTAATATATTCAATTTTCGATTAGTCGCCCATTTTAGAATCTATAATCTATGTTTATACTTACAATTATTGTACCGCATATTTTTGTATAAATTTTATATGAAAAATGATATTTGTCGAATTAATTGCGTATTTGTCGAGTTAATTGCGTATTAGTCAAGTGTAAACGTACTTTTGTTGATAGAGCATTTAATAATTATGACACTTTATAACATAAATTTTATTTTATTACCATTTGGATTATTATCAGTTTTGTTATATTTTTTTTAAATATTCTGTCCTGTTAAATTTAAATATTTTTCAAAAGTGTTTTTATTTAAGGTTAATAATGTTTTGAAAAATTGTACGTATTTTCAATAAAAAAGTGAGGCATAAATAATTGTGTAACATTCAACATCTTCTTGTAATATTAATGTAAACTATAAACAATGATAGTCGATGACCTTAAAATTATAACTGAGATATAACTTTAAAAGAAAAAGTTTTTGTAAAAACAGTTACTTGTGAAATGTGTATCTAACTAAAAATTAAAAAAAACTTCATAAATAATTAAATTTAAATATGTACTTGTCATAAAAATATTAAAAATCACTAACTGTAAATGGCTTAGAACCATGCTAGCAGGAGGTGTTTAAGTTCTTACAAATAATGAAGCGTTGCAAGAAATATATTTATCATAAAATTTGTTATTTAGTAAGTATTATAGTACATTAGTTACTCATGGAAGTTTTTTATTTTTTAATATGAACTACTTTTAAACTAAACTACCTAACTTATTTTAAAAATTATATTTTTGCTTTTATAGCTAGTTCTATTATTATATTGATTAATAAATCAATCAAAATATTTAAAAATTTCTTTAATCACAATTTTATTTAAATCTGATATTAAATAAATTATTATAACGAATTCCAAAATAATTGGCTTTAACTTAGTATAAAGCCGCATCGTTGAAAATATATGATATTACTGCCTAATCCCTAATGAACTAAGTTTGCACCCTATCCTAATCCAATCTTCAAATTTCTATATTCTTTAAATTAAACTATAACAAGTTTTTGGGATATGTTAACCACAATTTGCTGGCATAAAGTTTAAAAAGTCGGGCTAAGTTATTACGAACAGAACGACTAAAATTACTGCTAAAAATAAAGCGGCATGAAAACAATTCGCACATCCTCTTCAAAAGAGGCATAACTCGAAATTCGACAATTTAAAGAAAACGAAAAAAATGTTTTGCAGCTTAGTGTCATTCCTAACAAAAAAAAAATGGATATATAACTGTTTTTTCCGACAATTTGCATTAATAAAAAGAAAATGCTATTTTGCGTGTTGGTAGACAGGTAAACTATAAGCATGTTCCATACTTCTTTGTGCCTCTTTTGAAGAGGGTGTGCGAATTGTATCTTCATTACAAAAAATCAAAAATAACAACACGATTATTTTTAAATAAAAATTTAATGAAGCTCAAAAAGATAATAAAAAAATAAGAGCACAAATAGTTTAAAAGAATAATAGCACTAAAATATAATTTTTTTTTATATAAATTATATTTAAAAAATTTTCTTTTTAAATTAATTCAATGTATAATGATGAATATATCTGCAATATAGTTTGTTTTAATTTGTAAATAAAAGCTCAAAAAATTGAATATGCGAAATTGTATTAAAAAAATAATGCAACGAATATAATGAAAATGCTGACATTGTAAATAAGAATATTAATGTCTATTATGTATATTTTCATCATTTAACAGGAACAGGTATTTTTCAATATTAAATATAATTATGTTTAAAATATAATTTTTTTAATGAACTTATTAAATGGATGTTATTAATATCATATTTATCTTGTTAACAAATTTTTTAAACAATTAACTTTATTAAACAAATTGTGCTAATATTTACAAAAACACTTGGCATCAATAAAATGTTTTGAAGTTTTGCACTTAAATCTCAACTTTGTATAATAGTGTTAGAGCTAGTAGATATCATTAAAGAAAATTTTATGTACAAGTATCACATTTTAAATATAAGTATTTCATATTTGGGATTTGTTGGATTTTTACTCAATGAAATGCTCTCCTCATTTGGGTCACAGATATAATTAATTTAATACATTTAATCCTTTTTGGATTTCTTGTCATCATTATCCGACTCTATGCATGCACATGAATCACAAACGCGCACATCAGTTTGCCAACCGCGTTCAGGGACAGGACAACGAGTTTGTGAACAATCAGCACAAACAGCTTGACCACATCGTCTGCAATGATGACGTTTGCAATCACCTATTACTTTCGAAGTATTATTAGTTACATTCTGTCTATTAGCTGTAGTTGTTAATAAACCATTTTCTTTCGCTATTTCTAATTCCTCTACGGTTCCAAAAATTATACGACAAATATGACAATGGGGTGATTCAGCATCAGGTACCCAATAAGATGGACGTGCTGAATCCTTAATGATTTCTGCAAAGTAAATATATTTATATTCAAAAATAACACAAAAGCTATTATTTATAGATAAACTAACCTTTTGGATAGTCCAAAGCAACTGAAGCCACACTCGTTATCGTGTTGTAAATACTTTCACCATATTTACGTACTCGTATATCCGTTTCATCGGTAAGTGGTGGGCCTGTGATATTGTTATGATTTGAATTGTTATGAATTAATGGTTCTGAAGAAATTTCTGTATAATAAAAATATATAACAATAATAAAAATAAAAATAACACAAAGCTTTGTATAATTCAAAGTTTGTGTCGAAAATATTTAAAAAATAATGAATTATAATTACCAGGAGCAGAGTCCTCCTTTCTTTGCAATTCATGTTTACAATCATTGCACACTCGTACCGGTTGTAACCAACCACGGGCTGGTACCGACATTTTATGTTGACTGCACGGATGACAGAAGCCTTCGCCACAGCCCCGACAGTGATGCTTTGGAAGTCCAGTTTTTTCAAAATTTTTTCTACAAGCATGGCAATTCTAGAGAGGAAAATAATGTAAAATAATATAATAATTTAATTTCTTATTGTTATTATTATTTTTTTAATAATATTTGTTATTTTTATTTATTTAATAATAATCATTCCATATATTTATAAGCTAAAATATGCATATATCTGGATATATAAGATAAATTTCATATATATACTTATATATACTTAAAGTAACATAGAAAATGAATAAAAATAAAAATGATAAAATATTTATATTAATCAGTGTTTCAAACTATTCGAACGTTGAACTGCTCCAACGACTTAAACAACAAATTTGCTTTGCGTTTCGACTTAAATAAATTATTATGACTTAAATAAATTATTTCTAGAACATTGAGTATTTTTTTTTGAGTAGGGTTTTATTTGACACTATACTATAAATCTCAATTAATATTGCAAATCAACCTTGGGATTTATCCTTCTATTTTAAATATAATCTAATATGAAATTAAAAATAATATAATACAAAATAATGATGAAATAAAATTTAGTATCTCATATTAAAATAAAATAAAAAATAGTAAAATATATACCATTATATATAATAATATTATCAGTTGTATAAACTTTTTCTAGAATATTGTGGATTTTTTGATGTTTTTTTTTTTGAGTGAAGTTTTCTGTAACATCTAAGTCTCGGCAATTATTGCATGACATAGTCCTCCATATGATAATTTTCTGACCTAGGAATCGTACTTGACACTATTATGCCAAAAAAATATCTATAATATATATAATAAATTTACTCCTAACAAAACAATTATATATAATTTTAATATTAAAATAAAACTTCTGTTATTAATAGTATTAAAATTAAATAAAAGTAAAGTGTGTGTATATATGTGTGTATAAACAATACACATTAAACTAACGTACTATTATTTCATGATTTGGTTTCCAATAACTTGGTGCTACTTTATCTGCAAGCCAACCAGTTATAGCTTTTGTGGGTGGAGCTGATATACAAGAAATTGCTTCACTTATATAAGATACGCCATCCAATACCATTTGAGCCGAATGTACAGGACCTTTTGTAGTAATATTACCACCTTTCCATACATGAACAATTTCTGATCTACGATTAGAATTATAATTTTTATTCTACCAATAATTTAGCATTCAAATTTATTTACCTAACAGCAGTGGTTTCTGGAGATTTGTTTCCGTACCAATATTGACGCGCTCTATATATTTCACCACAATGAGGACATTCAATCACAGGTCCTTTCCAAGCATATTTAGCCAAACCATACCAAGAACTATCGTTTTGAGCTTGTGTGCGTATTGTAACAATAATCTACAAACATAGTTATTAATTATTTCTTTTATTTAATTGAAAGCTGTTATAACAAGTTCACCTCTTTTCCATTAATATAACAGGTTTTACACAAATAAACTTTATTTTCATACTGGTGCTGATAATTGCAAGGATGTTTATTGAAGTGATTTTCTCCATCGATTACATGACCCATCGAACGTTGACAACGTTGATTGCATGACTCGCAGTGTACAGGACATGTAAAATATTGTTCGGGAAAAGGATTTATTGACTTTTCTATAATTTCACCAGAAAACTTTACATTTAAGGCTTTCATTGCTTTGAACACTACACCAGGCTGTCGTGATGAACGGACTGATGTGTTTTCAATTTCCATACGCACAGCGGCAATAACTTTTGAGAAATCAGTTGTTTTATTGTTTTCGGTTTGAATTCCAACATAACGCAGCGAACTAAAGGCATTTATATCATAATTGAGTTTTGAGAAATTTTCTCTTAATTTATCTTCCGCACTTTCCTCTACAGCTGTAATTTAAAAAAAATATATATAATAGAATTCCAATGATAGTCATTTTCAAACTTACAGCTTTCTAAAGGTTTTGTATGGCGTGTTTCATGAAATACTATTATTGCGGGACCAAGTGTTTTAGCAGTACCAGGTATGGCTAATGATTGCAAAGCTTGTGCGAAATGTGTACAAAATGCTTTTGAAGCTGTTCCTAAAAATTCAAACATATCACTGTGTAGCCGTTCAGATCTTGTACGATAAATAACAATGTCCGATATGGCAAGTATCTATTTACAAAAAAGTAATTACAAAAATAATAAAAGAAAACTCAATTTAATGAAATCAGACTAACCTTTAAAAGCATTCGCATTCGTCTATTACTTTTCTCTGATGTTCCTAATAGGCCCTCGGTATCTAAACATAAGACTCCTAGTTCATGTTGCATTGCTGCAAAAACTCCTACTGTACATGAGTTTTGTTCGGGCGATGTTTGAAATATATTTTGTCCATGAAAAAATGTATGATTCAAAGTATACGATTTACCATCACCGGTATTACCAAAAATGGATACAACTTTAATTTTATCATTTTCAGAACAATGTAGTTTTCTAGAAAACATATCTGGTGTGGCAATGTGTAAATTTTCACTGGCATCCATTAACAAAAATGAACAATCTCCATTTAATTGAGGTTGAATTTCATATTCATCACTTGTGAGATTAGGAATAAATGGAATTGATTTAAATTCAGCATCATGTACAATATCCGGTTTAAGAGCTTCATCCTGAAAGAAAAATCAAAACATTTTTATTAAAATGTTAAAAGTATTATGAAATTCGTATTAATTGTTATATAGAATGTAAGATATACGGTTTGTAATATTGAGCTTGAAAAAAAGGAACCAAAAAATATACTTGTGCTGATAAATTATATTAGAATGATAAAGGAGTTATAATGACGAACGACCCTCTGTGAATGAAGACAGAAAGAATTATATTTCGACTACTGGCAAAAGTATGTTTCCTCCGGACGTTAAGCTGGACACTGCACTTTCGAAGCTGTAAAAGATTTTATCTATTCTGGTACAGCGTTAACCAAAAACAACAATGCTATTTCAAAGTGTAAAAGGTACGCACTTCTTTTAAAAATACCATAATCAACTACTGTCAAAGCAATATCTCCTTGCGTGCCACACAGATGGGCATGTCTTCGTATTATGAATACATCGACACCTATCATCAGTTACCTTTTGCAATTAATAGCTGTATTCTCCAACATAATATAAGCCATATATGTACATGGCTTCGAGCCATTGAAGTCTCCAAGATTTTTTAAATTGACACAGACTAGTTTCAATCTAGTAACTCATACTCATTTCTTCTCTTCTACAAATCCTAACCTATGTATTTGTGTTACAACAACAACAACATACTAGACTGGAAATCATAAGTGGAGTTAGCGTTGCCATTAGGTGCTACTATGGACTTCGTAGGTAAATAGAATGTAGAGCTATTTAACTCGAACGAACAAATTTCCACTCTATAGGTGACACAGCCTATCTATATTTCTGTGTGGCGCACATTATATATCAATGAGTGATGAAGCAGCACTGAGTGTTCAAGAAAAAATCTATTCATATGATCTTTGATCCTCGATATTAGGGCTGTTCAAAGTACGGCGCGCGGCTAATGTTTGTGCGGCCCGCGACTTATTTTTAATCTATTAGAATTACCCATATTTTCTTTTGGTATACTAATAAAACTACATTATTTTATTTTTATGGTATACCAAATAAATGAATTTAAATTTATAAATCAATAAAACTAAATTTAACATTATAACCGTATTTTTATTTTTGTCGAAAACAACTATGAACGTATATATTTGTTTTTGCGGCCCTCCAATCTGTACAGTAATTTGCATTGGCCCGGGATCGCATCTGGTGTAGACAGCCCTGCTCTATATGTTGGCGTAGTCCATGGTGTACTAGACTGGAGCAGGTACAGACGCAGCAGAGCCGATTAGATAGTTCGTTATGACCAATTAAATAAGTAATATAGAAAATTGATCAAATTAAAAAAGTATTTGAATTTAAATACTCAAATTCTGCTTTTTTTGAAATTTAATACCCAAAACATTTTAAAAAACATCATAAACAATGTCATTTAAGATTATCTTAAACAGTCAGCAAATTAAAATATATAATTGATCTAGTGGAAAAGTTCAATTTCATAAATAATAAATAATGCAATAAATAAGGATAAATAATGTAAAAAATTATTAAAAAAAATAATAAAATAAATAAATAATATCTCTTGTTGCGAAACACTTAAGATTTTTTAGGTATATTAACTTTGTTAATGAGAAGTGGATAAACTTTACAAAAAATTGCTTCTGGCTTTATCAGCGCCCTTGATATTGTATTCATTCAGTTGTCGTCTTCATATAATTATTTTCAGATAATAAAAAAAATGAAATGTTTAAAATACAGAGTTGAGTGCATTTTCAATACAAGAGTTGAATTGCTCTGTGAAATACTTACATACATATATATAAACAATTTTTGTTTTGTTTTTTAGTTTTTCGTTGTTTATGAATTGCAAATAAACACAATCATTTCATATTACATATATATAAACATATATGTATATAGTATTTATAAAAGAAAATAAAATTGTCATGTAAGTAGACGCACGTCAGGGGTAGAGAACCTTTTTATAATGGACGGACGTTTCACAATTATAGAACTGGAAACCCTATATAATGGACATAATAGACCTTAGGAAAAATCGTCGACAACCTAAATTTACATAAAAATAAATAACCTGTAGAGAAACATATGAATATTTTATTTAGTTGAGAACAATTGCGCAGAATAATACTTATTTATATATGTATATGTATAGTATATTCGTTCAGTTTTAACGCACTGATCTAAGGAAATTCAGTTCTTTTTTGTGAAGGCGCACGTATAATATATCTCTCCACTAGAGATAGAGTCTAAAACGCAGTCTTATTATCTTGTATATAATCTAAGCTTTCTCTATTTTCTATTTCCTTAACCGATCTGCCCAAAGTCTTATCATATTAACTCAAAAACTGAGAGACTTGGCTATGGTTAATCTCTTCATACTTATTAAGAATATAGATGCTTATATAATATATATTATTTTTATATAATGTGTGTGAATAATAAAAAATATGTAGCTACATGCATTTAATGTAAAATAAAGTTAAAGTATTATGGACATATTTTATTATATTATTATTCTAATCTACGTAAATAGGGAAGATGATATATCGTGTGCGATTACTAGAAAATACATCAAACGCGAATTCTTGTTTTTGTTTTTAATGTATGTACCAAAATAATATAAAGAGATGGAATACCATAGTTAGAGCGAAATGTAATGGTGGTACGTGATAAAGTAAGCAGTAAGTGGTTGAAACCATGTTACAGAAGGTGTTAAGTCTACCACTTATCTATGATTTATTAATGAAAATCATAAGTTGGGCAATTTAAGGAGGATTTTTAAGTAGTAATTCAATGTTAGTATAAAAAATTTAATAGAAATAAATCAATTATATTTAGTGAAAAATGGTCCGAAATATTATAGAAGAGAATTCAACACAAAAACCTTTAGAAGAAATCTAAAATCTATTGAAAAAATATGCACTTCTTAACTATAGCGTCAGTGCTTTTATGAAAGTGAAAATATATAACTCCTGAAAATAGAGGAGTAAGTATTTAGTGATATACAAAGTATTATTCGTTTTTTTTTTTTTCACTAAAAAAGTGATGAATTCTTGTAAGTGGTGGAGCAAAATACACTCAGAAGCTGTTAAGAAAAAGCGGAGACTCTGAGCATTACATATATGACAGTTTGGAATCATTTAAAAAGAGCAGGCTACGGAAAGAAACTCGATGTTTGAGTACTACATGAATGAACGAAAAAAAATTTGATTGACCGAATTATCATCAGTAAAACACTTTTGCCGCGTAACAAAGTCGAACCAGTTTTGAAACGAATCATTCCATGCGATGCAAAATAGATTAAATACGGTATTATACAACGTATGTTTTACATCAGGGTTGTCCAAAGTACGGCCACTGGTCTCATGCCGCCTGCGGTTAATATTTGTGTTTCTAATATTTCTAATATACCATAATTAGACAAATTGTTCTTTGTTATATTTTCGTAAGATTACATTCTATGTAATATAACATTTTACATTATATAGTATCCCAAATAAAAGAATTAAAATCATTTAAATAATTTATTACATTTCATGATAATTTACTTAATTGACAAAGACACTATTTTAAAATAATATTTTTCGTAAGGCAACTAATATTAATAGTGTTGTTAGAATTGTAAAAGATAAATTAATGAAAAATTAATACAACTAAATTTAACATTATCGCCGTATTTATATTATTTTTCGATAAAATTATGAACATACCATATCTATTTATTTCTGCGGTCCTCCAGCCTATTCAGTGATCTGAATTGGCCCGCGATATTATCTGTTCTGTATAGCTTTGATTTACATGATCTTAAGCTAATGACCACAAACGATTTCAAAGCTTGGATTGATGGCAAGCAAGATAATACAAAGTGTTTGGTGGAATTAAAAGGAAATTGTTTTTACGAGCGACTTCTGTCTGGAATAGCTTGAACGACATAATCAAGGAAAAGGGACCAGAAAAGGGAACAGAGTTGTGTATCATGCTAACCCACAAATAATTTTATTGATGCAAAGGAATAAATTGACGAAAATTAGTTGGAAACTTTTAATGCATCCACTGTATAGCCGACTAAAAAGTGACTAAAAATCAATTATGCAAATTTTTAGCCGATAAACCACAGAACTTCTACACCGTTTAATATCAATATTAATGGTCAATATAAACTTCATTAAAATCAATTTTTAATAAAGAAAACTTTTTAATGCAGAAAACAATGGCGAATACTTGTTGTAATAGATATAATGGTTTCATTTTCATTTAGTGGTTAGTGATTTTAGTTAGTTGATTGATGATTGCTTTACATTTCGAACCATAAATTCGGAAATAATAGAGGGCGCGTGCCCATGGGAGCAAGTACACAAGGCAACGTGTCTGATTGCATTTCACATGGAAAATACCAGCGTAATCCTAGTCACACAAGAATTTTCCTTGTAATACACAAAGTTTCTGCAAACAGATCATCAACAGATAGCCCACAATCTCTAGGTGTCAACTGACCTGACCCATATGATACTTAGATGTACTAAAAGTTATATGGACAGTTAGATATAGACAGCCATCTATGGTGATTAGACTTTGTTATATTTTATATATTATTTTTAATTATTTTCTATACTACCTAGGATAAAATACCTAGGATAACTAGGATTACATGCCAATTAAAAGTTACTTTCAAATGCTGGGCACGCTACGCCCCAACCGTGATTGCAATAATATATATATTAAAAATCTACTTTAAAACCTAAGCGTCAAATTTTTATTAAACAAAAAAAAAAAAAATGCCGGTACAGCAAATATGTATTTTACATTTTATTTAGTTCACTTACTTCTGAAATTTCCCTTAGAAATGCCATTTTAAATAAAAAATTGGACAGACCACTACTTTAAAGTTGGGATGACATATAATAAACTGTAGTCCATATTATATTGTATATTGTTTTATATTATATTATATATTTTTGTGTTTGAAGACACGTATGCATTCATTTATTACGTTTAATGTATTAAAATTACGTATGGTTATAATAAAATAA